TTTACATATATAGCAGTTTTAAAACTTAAAACTTTTTATAAAGAGTTGAAATATCTAGAATCTGTTGGGTCCATGTTTACAATTATTTTCAACAGTCTAAAGTGTACATCAAAATTAAAGGATAGGTACACTAAACTTAAAAGTAAAACACTATTTCAAAACACTGCAATGTAGTTATATTTTCTATCCTTCAAGCACAAAACCTAAAAAAGGTAAAACCATAACATAACAGAAGTTTCAAGAACTTTTATAGCTGTCCTACCTTTCAGAATGAATGTGTTGATAAAAAACACAAAACAACTAAGCACACAATAAAATATCTTGCAGTGGCTATGCAAAATGTGAGTAAGACCAACCTAACGTGGTTTTTCTAGCATATGACACACATAGTACCAGAATAATTTTATAGTCCTGACTCACAAAACTCATAAAAGCAGGTACCGGTATGAATGACTTTTGCAAGAGAGAGAGGAAGTGGTTCTAATGGTTCTGGAACGAACCTCCGCTGGAGTCATTGATGGTCATTTCAAATTTCAGCACTTATAGTATTTATTATCAGTTTTGAGGAATGAATTAGAAATAATATGTATTTTGTTGAAGCACAATAAAAAAGAAAAAAAAAGAAAAGAAGAAACAGAAAAGAAAATACTTAAAAAACTAAATTCTACAGATGGCTTTTGAACAACTCATTCTATTCCCTAAATGAATTTTTTGAAATGTCTGGTATTAATTTTTTAAGTAGAGTTAGCGAATTGACCAAAGTACTGTTGGACTTTGTTGGTTATGCGGTTTATTCACTTCCATTATTTTCAATGCCACAAATTTTTCTTAAGAATAAGATTACCTATTCAATTGTAATATTTAAAATATGTATTGTAAAATGTCTCATTTTAAGTAGTTAGCTATATTGTATCTTACTGTATTTATTAACTGACTATGCTATAAACATTAGCAGTTTTATGACTTTGTCAATAATTTGTGAAAATTCTAAGGACAATAAACACATTTCATTTCATACTATGGAATACTATTACAAAGCATATGGTACTAGTTACTAAAATATATGAAATTAAAAATGTATTTGTTCAAGTGATGTCAGACAGTTTTTAAGAATCCAATATTAAAATTAAAAAAAGCTATTAACAGAAACATTTTTTTACAAAGCCAAATCTATCTCAGTAATCCATCTTAATACGGTTAACCTGGGTTGTGGAGTTGAACTAACCCCCACCTAGTAAGGCAATCATTAACAATATGATTCATCGTCTAGGTTGTAACCTCCACTGTCACAATGATCTCGGAACTGCATTCATTACAATATGACCCATTGTATAGGTTTTAACCCCACTATCACAATGATCTGGGAACTGCAATCATATATGATCCATTGTATAGGTAACCCACTGTCACAATGATCTAGGAACTACAACCATTAACTATATGATCCATTGCATATTTTTTAACCCCACTGACACAATGATCTGGGAACCGCAATCATTCATATATGATCCATTGTATTGGTTTTGACCCCACTGTCACTGATCTGGGAACTGCAATCATTTACTATATGATTCATTGTATAGCTTTTAACACCACTGTCACAATGATCTGGGAACTGCAATCATTTACTATATGATCCATTGTATAGGTTTTGACCCCACTGTCACTGATCTGGGAACTGCAATCATTCACTATATGATTCATTGTATAGCTTTTAACACCACTGTCACAATGATCTGGGAACTGCAATCATTTACTATATGATCCATTGTATAGGTTTTAACCTCATTGTCACAATGATATGGGAACTGCAATATGATCAATTGTGTGTAGGTTTTAACCACACTGTCACAATGATCTGGGAACTCCAACATTAACTATATATGATCCATTGTATAGGTTTTAATCCCACTGTCACAATGATCTGGGAACTGCAATCATTAACTATATGATCCATTGTATAGGTTTTGACCCCACTGTCACTGATCTGGGAACTGCAATCATTCACTATATGATTCATTGTATAGCTTTTAACACCACTGTCACAATGATCTGGGAACTGCAATCATTTACTATATGATCCATTGTATAGGTTTTAACCTCATTGTCACAATGATATGGGAACTGCAATATGATCAATTGTGTGTAGGTTTTAACCACACTGTCACAATGATCTGGGAACTCCAACATTAACTATATATGATCCATTGTATATGTTTTAATCCCACTGTCACAATGATCTGGGAACTGCAATCATTAACTATATGATCCATTGTATAGGTTTTGACCCCACTGTCACTGATCTGGGAACTGCAATCATTCACTATATGATCCATTGTATAGGTTTTAATCCCACTGTCACAATGATCTGGGAACTGCAAATATTTACTATATGATCCATTGTATAGGTTTTAACCTCATTGTCACAATGATCTAGGAACTGCAATATGATCAATTGTGTGTAGGTTTTAACCACACTGTCACAATGCTCTGGTAACTGCAGTCATTAACTATATATGATCCATTGTATATGTTTTAATCCCACTGTCACAATGATCTGGTAACTGCAATCATTAACTATATGATCCATTGTGTGGGTTCATCCAATAAATTAATTTATGCTAATATTTGTATCTTTCCAAAAGAGAGGTAACAGAATGCCGTTCTATTTTGTTGCGTTGCAAATTGAACACCCTGTGTGTGCCTTTGTACACTCTTTTTTGGAAATATTAAATAAATAACAACTGGATTCAATCTGCATTTTATAGACCTACTTAGACTGGCACAGTAAGTTAGTTAATAATCCAAGCTTTAACTCTTTTGAATTGAAATGTGGCTCATATACTTATATTTGAATTTTACATTGTTTTAGTAAGCCAGCAAGAGCTTTGGATTAATCAAATTATTTGTCCAAAGTGTTTTGACTCAAAGCTATCTTTAGATGATATCGATTAATTACATTTAAACTAAATCCAATACAAACACACTAGCCAATTTCTACAAAAAAATTCAAGTAATTTTCAGCATTGACTTTATATGAACCTAATAAAAACTTATTCTTTTGTTACAAACCTTATTGTTCTCGTAATATTTTGACTTGTGTAGGTAAAAAGTAAAATATTAAACATTTCCTTGATATAGAAAAATCCAATAACTATTTAATATGAACAAATAATTGAATTGTCTGTGATTGGACACAAGAGTATGCACATAAAATGGAATGGCTGTTTGTATAGGTATGTTACCTAGGTGTACAACAAACCAAAACTTATAAAATGTTAAACATTCTATTTGTAAATCAGACGCATGCAAAAAAATATGGTCAAGGTCTGGAAAACATAATTATAAATCTATTTCATTGTCAAATCTGACGTACAAGAATAGGGGACCCAGCTGTTGAGTTTTGCAATAAACTATTTCCATCGTGTTGTGTGTTGGTTACCTGGAAACAAATCAAAACACATAAACTAGCATGACTATTTCCGCTATAACAAATAGCCATGTGGTTAAAGTTGTTTGACATTTGTACTGAACGATGCCGTTTATGAGCCCCGCTGTAAGGAGTCAGTTGATGGATTTTTACTTAGAGGACAGATTAATAAACAAATGCTCCACCCTTAATCTACACATTTATACTTCATGCCATCAGAATGGAATCACCTTTACTGACCCTTAATAAATGACAATAAATCATTTAAATTCAAAATAATCTTGATTTCAAATGTATTGCTTAATCAGTATCTCTCTAATCAGTAAATCTTTAAGACTGCTTATGTATTCTAACTTAAGGTGAGATATAAGTTTACCTTCTAGTTGCTTGGTCAAATTTACCTTTAAGATTTACTTCAAAATCTTGAAACAGGATCTTCTGGGAAAATTCCTGTTTTCAAGCTACAAAAAGTTCCATATAAACTTAACAAATGCAAATCAAGTCTTCAAAAAAAGTGAACACTGATCAAACCCTTATTCCAAATATTGAATTTCCTTGGTGCATTCTATTTAGGCAATTCTTCCTTAAAAAATAAATTTATATATATATATGTGTGTATGTTTACATAAACTCCCTTTTTTTTCTTTGTTTATGGAGTATTTTGTGACAAATAAAAAAAAAAATTAAAAATCAAGTTACTAACTATTACCGGTAATTAATGTATTACCAGCCCATTGTCAATTTTTAACTAAACAATTACCGTATTGGCTCGTATTACTTTTTAAAACTAAACTAATAGTTGTTTGAAATAAGTTATCTAAAGTTTTAAAGATTCTGATTTTAGAAATTTCATGCAGAATAGTTAAAAATTGTTTTAAGCTTATATTAATAAAAAAATTTTTATAAATAACTACTTCGAATCTGTTTAAAAACTATTTCAATGAGGTTTAGAACAATTGTTATGTTCATTGGGGACATTTCCAATCTATGGTATTTAAATATATGTAAATATAAATTCTCTAATTTATTGAGTACCTCTGAAAAATAAAAATGAAATAAAAATGTAATGTAATAAAAATTTGACTGAAAGGTTATATCTATTCCATAAATTTAAATATAACATTGTCATGACAAAGATTTATCATCATTATTGTTATTACTTCAATATTTTTAATATTATTATACAATCATCACTCAGTAAATATATGTTTTTAATTTAAAATTCCTTCCCTATTTTTATCATCAAACCCCAAAGTCCAACTTATCTCAGCACAACTTCATAATCCCATATGAAATTAAAACAACTATCGCAGACAAGTAAGGCAAGAAAAACAAATTCATATATGCATAAGGAAACATCTGTCATTGGAAAATCAATAACACGGGATGTGGGTGCTGGATATAGCATTATTTAGTTTATTATTGTTTGCAATAGCAGCGCCAAGTTTTCATTGTCATTAAATATAGTTATATTTGTTAATTATTGTGTTCCTTTAGTGTGCTATAAATAGGTGGCGCTCGGTAGCGAGCGGGGAGCAGGCAAACCACAGGTCACAATCGGCTATTTCAGTCCACCCTATGACTTGTACCTCTCTCAAGCACTGTTCTGTACTTTCTGTTTGTTCTTCAAGTCTTACATTAGTTGGCATAGCATTGTTTGTATAACTTAGCTAGTTGTTGTTTGACAAATAAGTCTGTGCTCAGATGTAAAACTGAAGAACATACTGAAATTTAAAGGATCAAGGTAAGCTGACCATTATGATACTGTGAATTTGCCAATAACTATTTTCATACTCGTGGTTAACCTAGTTTGATAATTAGGTAAAGGTACATAACAGGGTTTGTTTAATAGGTGTATCCTGATACCATTTATATTAACATAAAAAAACTTCATGTTCAAATTTTAGATATTCTTATTTTTATTTTGTTAAGCTTTATAATGACAATGAATAACTATAAGGCATTTAAGCATCAATTTATGTTTTCATCTAATAATCATATCACGACTAAATATTGCTTTCTCCAGCATAATCTGTAAATTTTGAGTTTTCTCAGAGTATATTGGTTTTCAATAAAAGGTTATAATACAGGTTTTTACTTCAGCATTCCCTACATCAACAACTAGTTTTACTCCAATCTTATCTTAAAATATCATTTTAAAAGAATTTAAGGTTTAATTTGTTTTATTACAGGAAATAATTAAAATCTTGAATACGAATATGTTTCTCATTTGGTATGAATGGTTTGTTGAGCTAATCAAGACATATCTGGCAAAGTTGCCTGCCTTGAACATCATATTATTCACTCATAAACATCATAATATAATAAACAAGTCATTCTTCTTATTTTTGGCAATTTAGTTAGAAGATAAAGTTACCAATTTGTACTGATTTGGTTTTATTGATACTGTTTAACTTTCATATCTATAACAAATGTATGATATTACTGTCAGTATTTAACAATAACACTGATATAATACTATGCTATTCTGTTGGAAAGTTTTTAAGAATTATTAAAATAACAAATTTGCTTTGACTTTGATTGACACTCTGTAAGAGTAGGTAGACCACAATCTCTGAACTTATTTAAGTGCCATACTACATAATACCTTTGACTATTGATACAACTAGACGTTCCATTCTCATGTTAAAGTTGTTGCCAGTTTTTAAATCAAAATCGTTATAGTTGATGTGAGCCACCGACAGATTGTGCTCATTGAAATGACTAATTTCGAATTCACAAACCTTACCAAAGTCAAACTAATGGAATGACTTATTGTGAGCTTTAGCAACTGTTATGACCCATCAACTTGGTCAACAATAAAAATAAGGTAGACAATTGAATTTTAGAGACTAGCACATTCTGTGGCTGGCTCACACAACTATGATCTTGTTTGGTAAAATATTGGCAACAGCTAGTCCATAAAGAAGGGATATCTACTTCAGTATCCAATAGTCAATGATAATACTAAACTCTTGTTTTTATGCAAACTTTTGCTAGAAAGTGATTTACAAGTTATGGGGTTTTCTTATTAGAATCATCAACTATTTTATATTATTATCAACACGTTTTTAGTTTCAATATTTTATTGTATTAAAAAACATTATTATTATTGTTATTATTTTAGGATGAAAGAAATATATCATTTACAGTACATAAATTGTTTTCTAAAGTAATTACTTTGTTATAAAAGACTATAACCTAAAATTAACTTTCATAACATTATGCTTGCTAAAATTTCTATGCTCTGATATTGTAATTGATTATATCAAATTTTTTTAACCAAATATTTTACGCATAATTTGAAAAGTAAGGTGTATTTATATATCACAAATAAAATTCAATTTTCAATTTTGCTTCAGCTTAATAGTCGAATCTGGGCCGTGTTTATAAATGGGCCCAGGGGCGCAAGAGGTTTTGGGTTTGATGGGGGGCGCAAGCAAAGGAAAATACTTTGAATAAGTTATATTTCAAATGTTTTAAAGTGTAACTCAATAGAATCCTCCCCACTCTTGGATAGGGACGCACTCGTCACTGCCACTACTTGCATATGTGCTACTTAGAGCTTTATTTGTCATTTATGATGTAATTTTTTATTACTCACTATAATGTCAGATTTTTCTTCAATCCCGTAAGAAATATTTTATCAGTGTTGGTTAGTTAATTAAGTTTCTGTCTTGTTTTTGCTTTCGACAGTATTTTATGTTTGACGTGATCCTTACATTGTCAAATTACATGTTGTTTATAAATTTAAAAAACAAAGATGCAGTGAATTTAGAATGAGAGCAGCAAAAAAACAGTTATAAAGTGTGTTACTAATAGTCCCTAAAACAATTAGTTTTTTTAAAATAACTAAAAACATTTAACGCCCATGTGTACCGAAAGTGATGTAAAGCTATAATAATGAATTTTGATGATGTCATTAACGAGCCAAAAAATGTAGGAAAAACCAATCATGTATGAATATCATTAGAATATACTGTATCATAATATAATATCATACAATATAATTTCATGCAATATAATATCATACAATAATCATAATATCATTAGAAATTAAAATGTGTATCTGAGTAAAAATTAAACTTATTGGATTTAATTTACGGTATTAGTATGTTACGTTACTAATACTAAGTTACACTACTACTAACTACTAAGTTACTAAGTTACATTACTACTGGTAAGTGGTGTAGTGCGGGATTTTCATGCAAGTACGTCAAAGCTTACCGGGTTAGTAACGTACGATACTTTACATTATAATACACAAAACAGCTAGTTAGTACATTTTAAACGCATAATACAGTTTATTTAGGACATAACATAAATTATAATATTTTTGTATTACAGAAAATAAAATAGGCTGTTGCAGTTACTTGTTTATTTCATCAGCTGACTAAATGCACGGTAAAATTACATAACGTTACTTTTCCGTAAAAAACAACTTTGTTTATTCTACATAGATATTGCTCCGGAACTATTCCTTTCATTATAGAGAAACTCAATTATTTAATATACCTACATCAACTGTTTTGAAAATGGGGGTTAAATACATGGTTACTGGTTATTATCAGTAAATATAAAGTTGAGGCTTTTATCTATACTGATAACTGACGACCTGGGTGGACTGAACCATGGTGAAAGTAAATATTTACTTCCACCATGGACTGAACTGTCCAGCCACAATAGGAATTAGGTAACAAACTCTCCCAACCAACTTTTCTCATGTTCCAATATCATTTTTGAATCAACACTTTTCCAATAGCTAATGTTGAATTTTTTTCAAAGTATTCCGTTTCATAAATTAAAAAATACATTCATAATAAACAACGATGTGAGGATGAGTAATACTTTAGAAATATTCATTACCTGATAAATCTATTGCTAAGTTGAACCGTCTTACATCAATAATATATTTTATATATATTGAATACCAACACTGATGATGTTAAAATTAGATCATTATACTTCACCTCTTTTTCACAGGTGTCAAAAAGTACAGTGTGTGTACAAGTGAAGAAAAGCAGTTAAGAGTTGAGAGGACCATGAAACAGTTCTTAAAGTAATATTTTTTTATTTATGGATGTAAAATCTCAGACATACTTTGCAAAATATTTCTGATATGAAAAAGAAGTTATAGCACCAAAGATCACAATTGTAATAATGCCTCTTAACTCTTCAGTTCTCAATAGAAAAAATGAATCTCGGTGATTCACCCCCTCATTTGTTCAATATAATGATTCCTGATAGTCTACATTGGTACAAAATAAAAATTCCCTCTGAAGCGTTTCAAGGATGTGTGCAAGATTATGTTGGCAAGTGGTCGTCGTTATTTAAACGAAAAACCTGCCAATGGAGAGGCGAGGTCGTTCTTCCGAACGCAGACGCAGAACATGGTCATACCGATGCAAGGAATACCTCCGGCAGTTCATTGCGTTTATGTTCAGCAACATCGGCATCATCGGGCTCGTCGTTGGGTATACGATGGCTGGCTCTGCGATGTTCATGGCGCTTGAAAGGGAGGCCTACAAGAATCGTCTGACTGAAGTCATGAAGATCAGGAATGACACTGCCATGGAGCTATGGAAGAAAACCTGCTGTGATGTGTACGATGAACCCATGTGGAAAAATATTGTACAAGCAGAACTAGTGAGGTTTCAAAACAAAATAGTGGAGGAAGTGTTAAATCACAGTTACGAAGGACAATTTGCCACAACCAACCGATGGTCATTCTCTGGGTCATTCCTCTACTCGCTCAGTGTCATCACAACTATAGGTAAGTCTTGAGCAAAAAGCCTACATGCAGAAGTGGCACAATATTCTATTTTAGCTATTGAAGAAACTTCATGGGTTCTGTATGTATAACAGTATATTGTAGGGCTATTCAGTACAGTATTTATACATACTCAGCTTTCTTGCTGTCACATTCATATCATAAATCACTAACCGTAGGGGATGTACTACTACTGTACTTCTAAATTAATTAGGTACTTCTTTAACCCCCAGTGGAGGTCATATGGAGTGAATGTTAATTTCTGTAATAGCTTACAATCTATCTGAGCCAAATTGTTAAACATATTAAACAACAATAAGTAAGCTATTATTAATCTACTGCAGTCAATGATTTGATTATCTTCATTTTGTGTGCTGCCTTCTGGATTACTTCACAAATAATATTTTTATGAATATGATTTGATTATGTCATAATCTAATGTAAAGTAAATATAGCCATTCTTAAATTTAAAAAATATGTTAATGGTATACCGGTACTGGATATTGTTTATTAATTTATGTAAGACAAAAATTAAGTTTTACAAAACATAATTTCCAACAAGCTGCAAAAGCCTTACATACTTTGTCTGCAGCTAACTGTAGATAACAATCATGTCCATTCCAAAGTCCAAAATTATTGCATCTATCAGGAGAATTCCACTTTAATGTTATTTAATAAGAATACTATGCATGCTATTCCAACACATATGGAGCCACAATCTAGTACCAGTTCATTATAAGAGTTATAAATGACTGAGTACCGCCACCGAAATCATAACAACAAGAAATAAAACACCTTAAAGGGCTCAACGAGGTAAAAGTAGTTTGAAATGTGTAACAAAATCCAAATCTATAAATGAGAAACACATTGATGTACCGGTACAGTAAAGTTGAATCCATATTCTACGATTGCAATGACTGGCAACAGAATTTTTAATCATGGTATTATTGTTACTAGCGTGCTGACCATTTCCCAACATTGGGCCAACAATAACAATTTTTGCTACTTGGGTGGACATTCGGCTTGTTAAAAGTTTACTTTTATGAGATAGTCTAAACATTTTGTTTATCTGTTTGGGAAAAAAGGAATTATTTTTTGAGTGATTTTAAGACATCTTTAATATACATGTGATATTTAGTATATGCTACTTGAATTATTTTTAAAAGTCATGGCCCTAAAACTATTCTTTAGGAACAAGAAATTTGTTTTCAAAATATATTTTTAAAATGTGTGGGAAATATAATTTACGCAGATTGGTTGAAACAAATTACCAAAATATTTTTTTAAAACTTTAACAGGCTATTTATAAAATATTTCTATAATATTCTTTAAAAAGGTGATAAAAGTGTTCAAAAAAATATTTTTACAATGACAATTCTTTAAAAATATTCTTAAAAGCTATATTTTTAGGTAAATAAAATATTTAAATAATATATTTTACATAAAACACTAAATTATTTTGTCTTAATATATTAAAAATATTTTGTAAATATATTCAACCAAAAAATAACAAATATTTACAAAATATATTTTTAAGACCATTAAAAAAATCATTTAAAAATATTATTAAGCTATTATGCTAACATATTATTAAAAAATTGAAAAAAATATATTTTAAATAATATTAAAATATATAAAATATTTTTAGGATGGATATATATTTTAAAAATATTTATAAAATATCCTTGTGCTGTCTGGGATTTTGTATAATTTAAACAAGTAATTGATAAGTATAAAGTTGAAGACTTAAGTTGCTGAGTGTTTCCAGGCTACGGCAATGTGGCTCCTCGCACAGAGTGGGGCAAGCTTGCAACCATTGTCTATGCTATTGCTGGCATGCCACTGTTCCTGCTTTATCTGTCCAACATCGGTGACATTTTGGCAAAGAGTTTCAAATGGATCTACGCAAAGTGCCATCGGTTTCAAGGATGTTCTTCATGTCTGACTAAATATCCGCCTGGCCACCCTCAACACCCTAGATCTCAGGTTAGAGAACATGGTTGAGAATATTGCATGGATTTCAATTTGATCATCACACCTTTTGCAATTGATGTAGTTTTCTGACCATTACAGTTGTTTAGCAACTGTTTGTGTTGTGCAACTGTTTTACAAACACAAGCTTAAAATACTGGTTCAGACTCTTGACGGGAAAAAGGCTGAATCATCAGGATTTAAAACTAAAATAAATTTCAAAACATTATATTGTGTGTGCAAAATTAGTACTCCAGTAATGTACTGAACAATAAAGGAGTATGACATTAACATCTCCATGTACATTACACTGCTGGATGAACAGGTTGTGACTATTTTGTTTGGTTGGCTAATGATAAAGCTGTACGAGCGTGTAAGTCATACACAGGTGCCAGACTGAACCACACTACTAGGTCTGAATGAAGAATTATATTTTAAATTTTATATACAGTCCTTTTACAACAACTATCTCAAACAGTATTGATGGAAATCACCAGGTAATATTGTCTAAATTTCAACCTAAAACAAGCCCAACACACCTTTATTCTGATGATTCATCAACCTAGTGACCGAGTTGTTCTGTGATCTGTTGCTCTCTAGATGCAAGGGCGACACACTGAGGAAGGAGAAGGTGCAGATCTGGAGTACAGTGATGAGGATGAATGGAGCTCTGAGGCTGGTACTGACCCTCAAACCATCACTGTCCCCATTACACTGTGTCTTGCCATAATGGTGGGGTAAGTATACCCCTCTAATGCAAGTTATTCATATATTTTATTGTAAAGCTTCTTTGGTTAGCGGTCAGAAATAATTCAAGCTGTCAGAAAACCTTTACTACCTTTAATTTGCAGGATTACATTTCGTGGGGGGTGACCACCAGGGTTCCCCCCCCCAGTAAAATGAGGAATTTAAAGCCTAAAAACGTATTTTTATACGTATTTGAGCTCTAAAATATGCTCAAGCTAATAGTATTTATGTTAGCTAATAAAGTATAAAATATTTCGTGTTGGGGGGGGATATATCCCTCCCATCCCCCCCCCTGGGACCGCAATGTTAATTTGTGTTTAAATAATGTCCAAAATAGAATAAAAAGGATTACTTTTCCTTAACACAGGGTGCGCTCTACCTCAGCTCGGGCATCAGTAGCTATGTTGCGCCATTGAACAGCGCTGCGAGAAGCACTTGCAGACATTTAAGTCCTCTCGAGTTACTAAGTTACATTATAAAATTTGTTTTATCTGAACCTTCTTCAGATGTTCAGGAGTTCCTTACATTCAAATCTATGACTCTCTAGTTTTATTTTAATTTCATCAAAAAATTAATTCTCATGAGTAAAATGCTTTAAAAAAAGCTTTTTTTGAGGTATTTGCCAGTCACTACACACTTAAATGTCTACTATTAGCACAAAATTGCAACCGTACAAGCCTACAAAAATATGAAATGAATAAAGTAACATAAATATATTTTCAATCGGTTAAGAAACAAGCCAATAGTGACAGAGATCCTAAATCCATTAAGCCTAAATCATTAGCGCGCGGCGGACAGGTAGAGCGCACCCTTAATTCATTTTATTCCAGCTTCTCGCATACTACCAAATGCTAAGCAAATGGCTGCACTATCCACCAAGAAGACTTGAAGGGCAAACATTGACCATGCAATTTATGGTATGACATATCCTAATCAAAGTTACATGACAGATCGTCTCTCACTCCTCATTTTTATCTCCGAGAGTTACAACGATTGAGCAGCATCCACCACTTGTGTGGAAGGTCCATTTCCTAACTTCCAATGACAGGCCGTATACCAGGAAGATGTTTTGACTCTTCCTGTTGGAATTAATTTCAGTAGTGAAAATCCTTAAGCTACACATGTCCCTCAGGGGATGCTAAGTGAACGATCACACTTGTAATCTCCCAGCTATATCAACTGAAAGAGTTTTTATGAATAAATCACACCTCTTTTCCTTCCCTCTTAGTTTGACGTTTGAAAAACAATATGTATAACAAAAAATGATATTTGTTTTAGATATGTATGCAGCGGGGCTCTTCTCTTCGCGGAGTGGGAACATTGGGGATTCTTGGATGCCTCATATTTTTGTTTTATCTCCTTAAGCACAATCGGCTTTGGAGATATTGTGCCTAAAGACAAAGAAGGTACATCATTCAAAGGAGTCGAACTGAGTTTTATCTTTTGCTCCATGTATCTTATGCTAGGAATGGCTTTGATCGCCATGTGTTTCAATTTAATGCAAGAGGAAGTGGTTCATAAAGTACGGACTTGTGGAGTTGTGCTGAAAAGAATTATCCTTTGTAAAAGGTGACAGTTTTCCACTTAACTGTAATTCAATGTATTTTTACAAGATATTTTTTGATAAGTTTTGGTGATATTATTTCAATGTTTCTTTTGAGGTAAAGTTCAGTATAAACAATATACATTTTTTAAATTAAGAGGCAGTTCAGTGTTAAAAAAGACATTTATTGTGAATTAATTGTGCACTCAGAATGCAACTTGAATAATATAAAAATAAATCATCTTATAATGCCTCTGGGATTCAAGCAAATTTTCCTAAATAGAAATGTCGGTGGCTATAACCATTGTCTTCATGGTGAAATCTATGGGTCTAACACCATTGCAGATTTCCTCTTATTATCTGCAGATGTCATTTAGCACAATGAATCTCATGAAAATTCCCTGACTTAGATAACATTTGAATAAATCGTGTAAACCGATATCTATTTGAATGAGTTTGTGAACAAGCATGATCCAATCATGGTAACAGAGTTCTAGAACACCCTGAAATTAACTTTTTTTGCTTTTTAAAGTCAATAAAATACTGTAAGTTACTTCAATAAAAACTAACTTCACTTGAAATGCCTCTTACTCAATGTAGTTTGACACTTTGAGTGCCTTAAGATGGAATACAGTATTGTGATTTTCCTAATATCTATATTCTGGAGATAATGTATGATGACTAGAATTTCATTATTTATATATATAACACATTTGTATAAAACAAAAAAGGTAAATAACTAGTGAATTTGTAAATAATTATGACCCATTGAAAAAAGTGATTTTTGATTGTGACTAAGGTTTTGAAAGTCGGAACTCTACCAAGAGTCAGTCCCAAGCACTCAAGGGGTTTTACTATTTTGACTCATAGCTATGTTTAATTAATTTATTTTAAAACACAACATTTCCTTTCCTAATACAGTTTATATGTATCAACACTATCCTCTATTACATACATTCCAGCAATAAGTTGTATCCAAATATTAACATAAATGTTTGATGTATATTACACTTCCTTTAACCTTCAAAACGCTTTAAAATTACCAAAATCGTAAGATATTTATTTTTGGTCAAATCAAATTTTGAGATAAATCTTAGAACATAATTGGTCTGACAAATTTAATTTAGGTCTCAAACAAACTTTAAAAAATATATTTTCCCTGAACTTAAAATTCTGTATTTTAAAGAGAGAAATTTTTCTAGAGCTAAAATACAATTGAATCAAGAGTGCGATTAAAAATTATCTATCGAAATATTTTACTCTCTATTGCTGATATTAATGTCAACAATGATAAAACCTGATCATTCAAAACCTTTGGAGACAATGAAAATTTGTCTGCCAATACCTTATCCTTATCCTATTAAGTTAACTTGTGTTCCCAAAATATATGTCTATCTTGTTTAGAAGTTTAACTCTATAAAAAGCACCAATGATACATTTAAGAGGATTGTTTCAATAAATTTAAATGTTTGATAATCATCTTTTAAAGTGACTTGACCTATTTCTGACTGTTTCAAAATAGTCTGATCCTGATGCAGTGATGCACATGAGCCTAATAATTAACAAATTTATAATAGAAGAGCGAGTTATGGAATGACCCGCTAAGTAATATGCTGGAGATCTATAATGGCCAGAGACCGTCACGGAATTCATTTTAAGACCTGCGATTTTTTTGGGATAAGAAGATGATAGCTTTGTTATGGACTATTACCATAACAAACAGTACAATTTGTACACAACATGCACACATGTTGTGGGGTGTTGTGGGTACATGTTGTGGGTTTAGCCAGGACCATTTATTGAAAAACACACGATCAAGGAGAGTAGAGTCCAGTTGTTTACAACAACAAAAATTACTGCATCATCTCATAATCAAACTGGCAATCCCAAGATTAGTAACCTAGAGAGTCATTGCTGAGTCGCCTTATAAAATGAATGAACACAATCTAAAGCACGCTTCTGTTATCCAGCATTCCAATGATTATCTCACTCTGCTTGCATTCTGGACACATTCAAGACTTAGTCTTAGCCTAGCCAACGAGTATGCCACTTTGATCAGTTGACATAAAATATGTGGGTTTTGACACCGGCTCCAAAAGATTTTAATGAGCTGAAGGATAGTAAAACTAAATTCATAATTTTTAAACTGTGTATTTCAACTGTACAAAAATCACTTACATATTTAATTTGTATTAATATTACATAGTACAATTACTTATTCAATAAACCTTAGATAACATATTTTAAAGTCATCTAGGAATGTTGGAAGAGAGAAATATTGTCAAAATATCAAAATTATGCGTTATATTATAGAGACTTAAGTGAAATTCTTACATGTTTAATTTATTTCTGAAAATACAGTCTGTATTATTTTAGGGATCTCAGCACTGGTGTAACAATTATCAATAAATAACAAGATTGTTTGATAGCATTGGTTGTTGGTTTACTCAGGAATGAAGTGGATATTTAAATATTTTTTTAATGTCGGAATAATACACATATAGTTAACTATCATAATGACATAACAAGACAAACATAATAAATACAACATATAATTATTATATGGCTTTTAGTCAAAGGAGTGTAGATCCTCCTTGGCTAAGAGACATAACTAGTTACGCGGACCTGTTAAAGGTGGGTTCTGAACTACCAGTTCGTGGCGATATCTTATTCAACCCATTGTCACTGTCCTGCAATCAAGTTCAGTAGTAATGGTAACGATGCAATTCCTGTACGCTTCAATCATGATGATCTTATCAACTGTTTGATGACAGTTAATAAACTACTGGGAAGAACGGGTACTCAAAGAGTTAAAAAGATTGGCATTCAAGACTGGGGACAACAGTGCAGGTATTCTTCAGACCAGTGAGTAACAATAGTTGACGTATGAAGTCAGATTAGGAGTACAGACTTCATAAGTGAACTAGTCACCCTGAAGATGGCACTCTACATCATGTGACCGAGAAGCTAACCTATTAAGATTAGAAATCAGTAGGGGTGTGGAGCAAACAATTTTTGATTCAAAACAACGATTCCATTCAACAGATTTTCTATTCGAATCGATACAAATCGAATCGAAGCAATACGGCATTTCTCTATTCATACTTGTCAATGGAGTGAAGTAACAATAGGCTAATTAAAATTTACCACATTTGTGTAATGCAAATTTTCGTTGATGTAGTATTAGGCCTATTCATACATATGACATATATATATTTTAGGTGAAAAAAATATATATTTTCTATCATATATTAGAAGAACCTGTATCGCTGGAAATGTCAGTGAGCTGCTTTACTTGCCTGTTTCATAATTTTTACTTGCAGAATCATATTGTTTAGCATGTTACCTACTTTATAATATTGATTTTACAAATAAAGATATGTTTTGGTGTAAACAAATAAAAACATTTGTAAGATTTATACTAAAACTTTCAATTGGTTCACATTGATAAAATGAGAGGATAGAATCAGACCTACAAACTACAAGGAATACATAGCAGACCTACAAAAATACCAAATTTATCAGTCTAAAACATTACTAGTTAAGTATCAAGTAAAAATTTGTCAGACCTGTGTTATTTTTAGAATGATTTTGGAGTGACTTGTTTAGGATATTACAGTAATAAAACATGTCTCACACTACTTACACTTAACAAAAGTTCTCATCATTTGCAATGTCAAAAACAACAAATTAATAAACAATTAAAGCAAAGAATTAATTAAATAAGAATGCCTTCGCAAAGGAAACGCAACAACAACGCGCTCCTGTATTGTGGGTACTGTATTCCGTTGACTTTCTGCAGGCGTTTTTCGTATATGTATACCGACTCCCTCATGAATCAAATTGTTTTTGATCCCCACTGAATCAAATCGCGATTTGATGCATCTAATCGAATCGAATCAGAATTTTGATGCATCGCACACCCCTAGAAATCAGATTGTCTGAGGATAAATCTAAAACTTGCGTTAAAATTTAATCAAATAAGAGACTGCTGAGAATATTACCTGAAACATAATAAGTTTATCAAGAATCTATTTTATTTAAGTAGGTTATAAGTGGTGTTAAATGTAATGAAAATTTGAGAGACATAAGCAAATTGCTTTGATCTCTTAAACATAAACCTATATTAAGTAGGATTTTCTATTGGATTAGTAACTCATGAGGACACATTCAGCAATAATGGGATGAATATACATCATATTAGCGACTAGTTTCATTAAACAAAACTACTTACAGTTTTTAGAATAAGTTGCTTAAAATTACATAACATGTGAAGACTATGACTATGAGCAATAATTTATATTCACTCATTTAAATGACAACTCAAGCTATACCCTAAGCGTCCAATATGACTTCTTAAACCTAACCATAATATACTAATAACAAATATACAGTTAGTGGAATATTTAAAAGCAATCGTCCCACATTGGGTAATACGCAGCTAACCCATTATAAGCCAATTCTGAAATTAAATATGAAATTTAGAAAAAAAAAACACAATCAAATATAAACTAACGAAATATAAATTTAATTATGTGCTGACCATTGTCATTAGTTAAAATTGTTTATGTTATCGTTATCAAATAACTAACATTTGATTAGAATAAATGAACTTGCATCTGTCTTTTACCAATACTTTGTGCAACAATACTTTCAATCTATACAAACTGGACTATTAGAACAATATTATTGATTACTATGGTTTTGAATGAAATCTAACTATGTGTAAACAAAAGAACATGAAGTTCTAACAAAAGGGTGAGGATACAAAACGCAAGCAATATTTATGCCATTAAAATAGGGAATGATATATAATTTAAATAAAGAAGTTAAAATTAATCTTGAGGAAATTTTTAAGTAGAAAACTCAAACTTGTAAACATTAATTATAATTATTATCAGGAATTCAAACTTGTTTAAGAACAACGTTAAACTTAATGTCTTCTTTTGCACAAATAGAAGCTGCCCTTAACATTATTATAAATATATGATATGCATAACAACTCGTAGAATTACTATTAAAAATGTTATGTACATCAGATTGAAATGTTAAATAAAGCACCATAGGTTTTCATCTTTCGGAGGAGTTGAACTATCTGCCAGATGCAGAATTTTGCTTGTTTGCCCGATGACGGCTTGTCTGTCGGTGGTGCTCGTTTTCAAAGTCTTCATCGGTCAATTTCAGTCGAAACATCTGGAATACAAAGACAGAATCAAATCAAATTTTAGAACCTAATATTATTTAACTATGTTTTCATGCTTAAAATTGGCAGAACAATTTTGAGTTTTTCAATATGTCTTAAACATCTATGCTGCATAAAGGAATAGTTCTTATAAGTTAAGACGACTCATTTGTCCTTTTGAAGCACACTTGATATTTTGGTTGAAATTTTCCTTTGTTCCAGATAACTATACTGTATTAAATAGTTTGTTACTCGACTCAAGTTATATTGAAGAAATTTGTAGGATGGAGAGGATACAGCTAACTCACCTGATGAAAGGTTGCAGACGAGCCAAAGAACACATAAAATATACATATACACACAAAATACTTGATATTTCGCCTCTTTCAGAGGCTTCTTCTGAAGTAGATGGCAGTTATAAAGACAAAAAAATGAGATGTCATAGTTTAAATTCAAAATGTCTGACAGGTTAGCCAACTGAACAACACAAGCACTAGATACAGACACATAGCGATATTGTAGTTACATTTACAGTAGACTCCCGATTATACGAGGTAATTGGGACCGGGACTACCTCGGATACGGGAAAACTCTGATAATACGGAGGATAAGTACAGTTATGGTAAAAATGACGTAAAACCCAGTGAAAGTTTACAAAACTGGTATATTAGAAGAAAGAACATATAATAGACACAATTGAATACCTGTAAGCAAGTATGAAGACAGATTATTTCTTTAAAAAGACTTTGATCGTCTTCTGAGCTAACCTCTTAATCACATTAAATTTGGTTTCAAGAGAAACTACAACTCTTTTCCGTTTCCCACACACAGCAACAATAAAAATCAACAACAAACAATGAATATTCGGTAACAGTAAAAGTCAACAACAACGATAAACAATCAATTAAAATGGCAAAAATAAACACAACCGCGATTAGCACGAGAACAAGTCCAGCGCGAGTTCAGAGCTACTAAACTGAGACTCAGGACTCAGACAGACTAAAAATGTCAGGTCCAGGTGGATAAGGAAATACGCAGGTTTCCAGTGCACCGATAATTCATAGAATGCTCGACCTAGCAACAGCCAGTAAAGATCTCAGGCGCTACTTAAGGCAACACTGAATAAACAGGCCGTAAGGCTCCTCAGACATGACGACGTCATAGGCCACGGCAATAAAATTACGTAATATTTTTTTTAGTTACAGTACATTTTTGTTTTCCAAGAAAAGATTTAAACAACCAGCTGATTGCAAACGGCAAAAATTACGTCATTGCCGTCGCCTACGATGACATCATGCCTAAGGAGCATTACGGCCTGTTTATTTAGTGTTGCCATGCGCTACTGTAGTTCTTAGAATTGATTGATTATCTGTGTATTCGTGCATTACGGATCGACGGCTCAGCCTAGCAACAGCCAGTACAGTACAGTAGAGAAGTCTACTACTCAACCTAACAGCCAGTAGAGACTTCCACTACTCGACCACGCTTGTTAAACACATATACATCGCGCCTCCTGGTAGTTGTCTTAATATTAAGACCTTTATTTGTAGTTATTTTTTTTTATGACCGGCCCGGTTAACCCGGAGGCTCGGTTAACCGAGACTCGGATAACCGGGAGTTTACCATACTTAAATGACAAGATTGAAAAGCAAATTAGTTTATGTACATGAAAATAAATACCGGTAAGAGTTAGCTGTGAGGGCGAGGATAAAAGGATATTATCTAATGTTGATCTACCATCTACTTTTGTAGTAGCTCCTCTAAAAGAGGTGAAATAACAATTATTGTGTATGTATATATATATATTTAGTGTGATCAGTGACTCGTCTGCAACCTTTCATCAAGTGAGTTAGCTGTGTCCTATCCATCCTATAATTGTCTTTCATCCAAGCTAAATGCTTTTTCCTAAAAAAAAAATAACCTCAAGTTATATTAAGTAATTGTTCATATACTAACAAGACAACCACTGTTATAACACAATATGTATCAATAAAAAAATATATCAAAGAACAATTTCTTGTAAATTGTTACAATTATATTATTATTTAATTAATCCTGAATTATATTATTCAGTTGTGTTGTTGTTCATATACTAACAACCACTCCCAAGAGCTCCTGAGTCCTTTATTGTTACAAAACATCTAAGATCCAGGGAAATTTCTCTTGGAAAGCCATTTATAAAGAAAAAAATGGAGTGGATTAGAGAATATTTTAGTTTATACATGCCCAAGAGATCATTCATGGCTCAAAGTGTATATGAACGATGTGCATACACTCTCTTACTCATTACAGGCACAATTTAGTTTTCTACAAACTCTAGGGCTTTTTAAAAATAAGAAAGAAACAGCAGTTTCACATGACTTGAAGCCGACTGTAACAATGACTTGACTACTGAAAGAGAATCTAAACATGCAGTAGTGAAACTAGTTACTCTGGTAAATGATCAGTGTTAGTCTATATCAATGGAATTTATGTTCACATTCCTTTAGCCTCAAGAAAATTCCATTGAATACTCATTCCAGCATTTTTTCAGGAATTACTTAAATTTCCTGGGAAATTCTTAGCTTCAGTTCAAGCAAATCTCTGGAGCAACTTTGAAAAACCTTTAGAATCTTAGGTAGTTTATGGGGAGGACTCTACTTATAGCATACGGAAAGCTTCCAAAAATGAAGACTAGCTTCTTGCACTGATGTAAAACAGTATAATAAATAGTTTAATAAACAATATTATTTTTTTGCCTGTTGATGCTTTTACAAAATGTACTAGTAGAAACGGTACTTTCGTTATTATATGGAGGCCACTTATTTTACAGCGCGCTGCGGCGGTTACGTTAGGTTGGGTTATCATAAATATGTTTGTAGGACTTTCCTAGTTCTGTTATGAATCGAACGATACCAGATGAGTCATGAAAAATTATTATAACCCAACCTAGCCTAACCGTCGCAGCGCACTGTACATGGGTGACCTCCGTTTAGTAAGAAAGTACCGAAAAAACATTGATATATGCCGATTGCCAATTTTAGTATAATTTGGTTTTTCAAAATAATCCTATAAACTTCTTACCTCGCGAACCATGAAGTCTTCCTCCAGGATGTGTAGTGGGGGGTTCCTCAGTGCTTCCAGAGTTTCATACATAGTTGGACACTTCTTCTTTAGAGATTGAAGTGATTTTGCGTTCAGACTCAGTTTTAGAAGCACCAACGCAACTTTGAACAGTATTTTCACTCCTGCAACATAGTTTTTTTCAACATTATTGACATTATGCAGCTGTTGTATCATTTTAAAAAGTAGGAAATTTTTTTTACTACTATTTTTTTTTTTACTAATTAATTGTTGGGGAATAACTTATTTATATAATACTTGCCTTTGAATTAATTTTATTTGTTATATTACTGAAAAAATAATATTTAAAGCAGCGAAAAATTAGAAGAATTGTATGTATACCGTACTTGTTGGAAAGGAAATCAAAGGCAACAGAATTGTAAAAGTTGTTCCTCAGTTCTATATTTAACTCTTAGTATACAGGGTGTAATAAAATCAGCCATTCTTTATTAATTTAAGCTATAAAAATTAAAATGACCATCATTTTGAAACCAACAAATATTTTGTAATAATTATTTTTTTGTAAACACATTATGACTTGATAAAATTGTATACTAAGTTTCTGAAATAGTTCTTAAGATATAAATTTAAAACACAAAAGAAAATGGCAGACTTACATCTCGCTTAAGAGGCATTTTTGGAAAAAAATGTTTTTCTTAATTTTCGATTTATTTTGGCTAAATAAACCTAATCCTTAATTCTTTGTAGGCTACTTACTTACGGAACATCCTGTATAGTGCATATCAGAATTATCACATTAAGTATATTAAATATAGGCAATGTCATGCAAGATTGCTTCTACATGAAATACTTTGTTGTAAGTCATGGGGGTTGTCTGAATCAAGCTCCTGTCACCACAAAGTAAAATTGTTAAAATCCGACAACAGCACCTTGTTCTTTACTCCTTTACCTACTCTTTACCCCACCACTATTCCATGGAAGGGAAACTGAGCGCCCTTGCTAGTTGTAAATTGCGCTCTGTGATTATATTTCTTTGGTTTAAGAGATATAAGGAAGTAATAAGGACGTAAGTGATTTAAGGATTTGGGAAAAATGCTCTTCATAATTGGACAATGAGGCCAGTTACAGTTGTCTATCAGTTTCAGGCGAATGGCGAGGAAGTGAAAAAACTTCAATGTATTTTATCTATTCATACTAATATTAAGAAAGTTTTCAAAAATGTATTTTCAATTGTCAACCTCTTGATCAAGCCTCTATTTTAAGTACTTCTGGGTGGAGTAATGGGAGAATAATGTGGATTCCAAAATAAACAGGGTATCCACAGAAGTGGAATTTAGAAATTTCTGTATACTTATTGTATTTCCCAGCCGATTTTTCACGTTTTCGCGGTGTTTACAACGTAATTATACCGAATTTTGGCGAGTAACCACTTACACCATCAATAATCTAAAAATAAAAGTATGTCAAAGTTAAGTTCTTTAAGTCATATGACGCAGTAAATAGTTTCATAAATTTGTTATCTAAAGGACGAGGAGAAAATATCTACATGAAAATTGAAAGCTAATCTCCTTTATAGGGGGCGACAGCTGTACCACTACGCGACTACCGCGGAGAACGCCTTTAACGGAGAACTACCGCGCTCCTCGAGTAGACCTTTCAGTTACCAAAATAATAAGCAATGTGGAAGCAAAAGTTTAAAAGCAATGAATTAAGTTATAAAAACGAAGACAGTAATTACTAAACCCAATCTTAAAACAAAAAGACATTTTACTCTCTAATTGATAAAACATATTTTAAATTAAGATTTTACCAATTTAATAAATTATACCATCAAAATTTGCATTAATAAGGATTATAATATAATCTTAAGATGTATTATATCATTATATCTTTTACTAACACTATTAAATTTTTTTTTCATTTTTTAAATAGTACGGTAACAGCAAAACCACAATTGTACAAAAAAGTCTTAGTAAAACATGTTATCGAGCACTTAAAAAATACTATTAAACAATCACCAATTCATCGCAAAACTATGAGCGATTTAAAACTACAAAAGGGAAACATATAAATATTTATTTATAACATCTACTTTATTGAGTGGTAGCGTACTCAAGAGTTCTGCGAAAGCAGCGTCAGTGGGTGGACGGAAATTGATAAATCGAACCGCTCACTTTTTAGGTGACCTGTACACTAAACGAAGTGGTTTATGAAAAACTTCTTAATGTAAACCAGTTCATATCCTTGAAAATCGCCTGACAAAAAAATGAAGGGAAAAAAGTTGACCTTGATGTATGACGAGTCATCGCTATCTTTCTGCCTGTCCACTAACAGTGAACTCATTTGTTATACGTTAAACCATCGAAAAATACAATGAAATAGTAAAGTTCACACTCGAGTGACTTGAATGTTTAAATTTAATTGTTACCATCTCTATTCTAATATTAACTGTTAAAACTCACAATAGTTTTTTTAATTATATTTTTTATTCTTTTGGCCAGAACCCACGCCCACAGGTTGGGAACCGCTGGTTTAGATAGTAGCCAAATAGTGCTATATAGGCTATCTTAAGCTAAATAAATACAATAATTGCCATGAGCTGTTTTCAAGTTTTAAGACATTCAATCACTGAATAAGGCATATGGTCAACATTTGGATGGGTCATATCATCCATTCTACAACACTAATGAGCTCGGAAAGTAAATAAACAAATTAGGAAGATACTACTGACCATGCCATTAATGATGGATAAAATTACAATCTTGTTCAGTAATTGTGCCTATACAAGCTGAACAATCCTTTGTAGTTCATCTCTAACAAATGAGTCAGCTTTCACTTTTGAAATAATTTTATCTTACCTTCACATAGAAACATGTCCCAAACACGAAGGATTGTTGACCATGGCAAGGTTCTTGTAAAAACACACAAAAACCATTCAGTCATGTAGAGAATAGGTTCAATCTTTTGTTTTTTCTGAAATGGAAAGAATTATCAATTAGATTATTACAAGAACAATTATAAACGAGCAAGCTAAAAAGTATGCTGGTAAACATTATTTACAGAGAGGAATACTTAGAGACTGAGTTTTTCCCAACCATCATACTATATTTTCTATCTTAAAACTTCTGGTTTAATTAAATGAAAATACTTATTTACAGACGCAAACATTAGGACATGGTTTTACTTACAGTTAACTTTGAAACTACTGAATCCAAGCAAACAAATAAAAATTTGTATAACACAGAAAAGTGGCTTGATACAGGCGTAATATGTAGTGTGAGCACATTCATATAAAGGGTTATGTACATAAATTAATAAATAAATCACATTATTGCATTACTTTTGTTGCTTTTACTTTAACTAAGGATGGTAAGTTAATAATAAAAATAAATAAATATGTTACACTTAATGAGGCAGTAAATGTGAGTCGACAACCTTCTGATGAAGCCATTATGACATCCTTCACGCCTGAAGATGACTTCCTGACAATCAAAACTAGTTGTGGCAATAAGCAATAATTTGACTATGCAGAGAAGCAGGTAAAAAATAATATATTTTAACTTGGAATAATTTGGTTTAACAACCGCAATATAATAATATATATTATATTGCTTAGTTTTGAAAAGTTCAGAGGACCTCAATAAAACCCCATATTGTAACTAGGTAATGCCGAATTAGAGAAAGTGCCAGACTAGAGGATGGCAATGAGGGAAAAGAAATAAGTTTTTAAAATTAGTAAAGCAAAATCATGAATATCAGAGATTTTTGAGTTTACGGTTGTGCTATTTCCACAGACGCTTTCTTCAGTTGCATGTAATATTACGAGGATCAAAGTTTGACTTGTCTCGATTTTCTGACATGGTGCTCGATTACTAAAGTTTTTAGTCAGCTGCAACTGGACAGGACTATAACACTGATATAAATAGACTAGAAAATCAATATCTTAAACTGCCAGATTACTGGACAGCACAGATAGATTAGAGTTTAGACTGAAATTTTAAAGCTTTTGCTCCTAAAACATTGATAAACGTGGGAAGTAAAATCAGCTGTTTTACATACCGCCACTGCCTTCTCTACTAACTTCTGTGCAACTAATTCACAAGCAGATACGTTGACCTAATCGAAAAAAATAGCCTTCTATCAAGATTATGAGCAAGCAGTTAATTTCTTGTTACAATTAAATAATCTGCCTCAGAGTTTCCTTCTAGACTTAACTGAGATTGGTCCAGATAAGTTTCACTCTACAGTGTGTCAACTATAATAATAATCAAGTTATAGTAATAATCTCTTACCAGGTGTTTGTGAATGTTAGGTGCTACTTTCTTCAATAGTCCGAACAGGATATCACCATCAATTTGAAGGGTTTCCTGAAGAAAAAAGAATATTATTTTTATTCCAACATTAACATAACATGATAGGACATAAATAGGCTAGTGTTGTTTTTTGGGTTTTAGCAAATTTCTCTATAGGGAAGTATTTTAGTGAATTTCCCTGTAGGAAAGTAGTTATTACCGTAGGTGTCGGGGAGCGAGCTGGTTTAGTGATAGAGTGGGGCTTTGGTGCCCGAGGTCCCAGGTTCAAATTCATCTAATCATCAATGGATTTTATCTAGCCTATTTTATAATGCCGCAACCCTCTAGGTCTACAGGGTGTCTACTACATTCTGGATAAAAAATTCATGGACAATTCCCGTACATTTAAGGACACTTTGACGTAACCTTTGTCGGTGTCATTAGGCCTACCGAATAATTTTCCTGATTTGTCAAACTGTATTAATCTTGTTATTCACTGTAGTTGTACCAGAGAGAAAAGTAAATAATAATAGATAAGAGTTAAAAATTACAAAATAGTAATTTATTTAAAGTAAACAAACATAGGCCTACCTATACTTTAGGTAAAGCTTTTATAGTGTAACAGAGAAACGCAATAATTGTCTCCTGCGATAGCGACAAATATCTCCATCGGTCACGTAAACTTCATAACATAGCTTATCCGATACAGGCCGATTAATTTGGCATGATTCGCCCTGGCACAACGTTAGGCTCTCGACTACTTTTGAAAAAAAAAATCTTTAATGCATATTGTTACTCAATTCTTAGTACAAAATCAAGGTATGGTAAGCGGCTATTAATAAGCAATAAGCGCAGAGTAAGATTATTGTATTTTCATTTGCAAAGTTAATATCCACACATAGCCTAGCAATCATTAGTTGTTTATCTTAGGCTCAATTACATTTTCTTAATATATTTTACAGCTCTTTCAAGAATCAAAATACCCATCAGGCCTAGACCTTATTATTTAGGAGGACCTATATAAACTGAGTAACAAACAATGAGGTTATAATAGCAGCAAAGTCACTATCATCATTCTAGTTCAAAAGATTTAGATTGCTTAAAGCATACAACTCAATAAATAAATATATGGGAAACAAAAAAACATTGAAACCTGAATAGCCAACAATATAAGACAAAGATACAGAAAATGCAATGACATAATTTGAAACCAAGCAGGCCTACATAGTGATAAAACATTAATGCAAACAACAATGCTTGTGGTTTTGTCAATTGAAAGATAAAATGTCCATAAAAAAGGGGTTAACTTACAAAATAAGACTGTAGATTATTTACATGTTTAATATGAAACCATAAACAGTTTTATGGCACTAGGCACTGGCCGCGGCCGAAAGTACAAGTAAGAAGTGAAATTTAACAGCCATTATAAAGCTATTATTTTCACATAAAATAGGTTTGGGATCTAATAATAGTTACCCTAGTAATAAAAAAAGAAGTTGTAAAGGAATAAAAGTGATACAACTTTTATGAGCTAGCTGCTGAGTCAACAGTTCTTGGAAGTACTTGACTTGACACTTGATTGTCGTGATAAAATATTAATGGGTTTGAGATTGTTAATGGGATTTTTATTGCATAATTACTCTAGTAATAAATTATGAAAATGTAAACAAACATCTGATAAACCTTTTATGTGCTCCTAACCAACTAGCGATCAATAAAATTATGGCCCATTAAAAATTTAAGGACATAGTCTGGCATTTAAGGACAATTCCCGTACACTTCATGGCCAGTAAAAATTTAAGTACAATTCCCGGTTTTCCCGGATTTCCCGGTTGGTAGACACCCTGAGGTCTAGCTTGAAGTAATGTGTAAAACAGTTCCGAGCTAGAACTAGCGTCCTTGGATGTGAACGAAAAAAAAAACAAAAAAAATACCGGGAAAGACTAAAAAGACTCGGGACCAATTTATTTTCTCATTTTTATGTCCCCAGTCAAAAAACACTATTCCTTAACGTATAGGCTATATATATATCAGTGGATGCGATAACTCGAGGAATTTTGGTCCGGTTTTGATAAAATTTGGCTTGAAAGTGCAAGGCGGGATAAACTTGAATGATGAGTATGTGAACCAGCAAGATTGGGTCATATGAACGGAGTATTATGGGTTTTTTTAAATTTTCAAAAGTTGTTTATTTTTTATTTTTACTCTTAAAACATGGAAATGCCCAATTTCCATTGCGACCATCTTGTAGAGCTTAAAAAACAGATTATTTTGTACATTGAAGTGTTGTAGTGAAATTAAAGGTTGAAACAGAGAAAATTCCACAAAAATGTACATTTTAAATTCCCCTGTTATTTAGGGAGAAAATGAATAGTGCTGTAATTTGCTTGTTTATGGAAATTATGTATTTGGCAAATGTATTTATTTCATATTATAATATTAACATTAAAAAAAAAATACTTTCCTAAGCAGTCGTTAAATCTAATGTTTCGTAAATGGGAAACAAAAATATTTTAGTAAAACTCCAATCAGACAAATTAAATTCGCTGAGTGTGCAGGTTTGCTGCGGTGGTATTTTTTTCCCCTCAACTGCCAATCACCGTGGACATGCTGATCTGGGTGGTAATCTAAATATAGTGAGGAGCTGTTATGGTATGAGTAACATGGAGTGATAAGATAGTGCATGTAGTCAAACTTGAACCAGCATTGTCCGGCTTACAAACCCAAGATGCTACCACTGAGCTACCATGTTCAGTAAATCTATCCAATGTCTGCAATAGTGTAGAGGGAGGGTTTATTTATAAATACCAGCCTTGTGGTAAACAATATCATGCAATAGGAACAGTTAATTTGTGAGATTTATGAAATTAATGTGCAAATCGAGATGGAAAATGTCCACAATGATTTTTTAAAAGAATAATGAATAAATGGAATAAATGTTATTTCCATTAACTACCGGTAAACTCAACGTCGCTAAAAATGCACTTAAAACCAAGAAGTTAGGCTGATTTATAGTATGTGATGAGAAACAAAGACAAAATTATAATACATTTTATAGTGGATCGAGATGTTGAGAGGTAATTTTACCATTTTAAAGAATGTACAACAATATAATGATTAACAAATAAACATAAAAACATTGTTACCATTCCCTGACTGTAGTAGCCAGCCAAGTAGTTATCACAGATCGAGACAAGGCACCAGAAGGCTTCTTGTGCAGGCATTCGTGTGAGGAGGAAGGCAGCTAGGGGAGCTTGAGCTTGGCAGTAGCCTACGTTGGCGTTGAGGATTGAATAAGCTTTGAGTACGTTGTAAAGGTCTCTTTGACTGTAAAGAAAGTCAATGATTTAATCTAAATATTAACACTGTGCATTATTGAGTTTTTTTTTTACCAGTTACCAGGTAAAAAAGTAAATTGAGGCTAAATTTTTACTATCAGTAGCCAGCAACATTAAATGTATAGCTTTTTTACAAAACTAAAAAAAAGTGCTAAATATATTTCCTGCTCGAATTGAGCTGTGTAATTCTGTTGTATGTACCTACAGCTTGTGACACATAAGCTGGCACTTGACCAATCACTACTAGCCTAGTTCAAAAACATTATGTGCCGTCATGTGGGTTGCGTTAACTGTTCACTGTTGCGAACGTAAAGGCGCTTAAGTACACAAAACACAGGGCGTACCACCCATGAGTCAGCGGAAATGTTTGCAGTCCACTCATTACCTCCACCCTCCACCAGCCAACACTGCCCGTGCTAGGCCCAAGTGCTAGTTAACGTGTCACGAGCTGTAATGTTCAAAAAAGGTCTACAAAAAACATAGTCTATCCGACAAATTAGGATATTTAACAGATAGGGTTGGATATCAAATTTGGGCTCGGTTCGGATACAGATATCCGAACCGAACTGAATCCGACCAGATTTTTCGGATATCCGCACACCTCTAGCAGTAGGCCTACGCTTACAAAGAAATACAATATACAATGTCGACCAATCTGTACTAGCTTGTGTACTGGCAATGCTGTGTACATGTGATAAGCCTTCAAACCTAAATTATTCATTTTTATGTATGTTTCAAGTATTTTAAATATCAACAAAGTTATTCAAAGCGGATTTAATGTATTTAGTAAATGAAGCATTTGAAAATGGTAGCTTGTTGAAACATGCAGACTAGCACTAGCACTTAAATGTTACAATTTGGGACTGTCGACAAGTAATGTAAAACCAATTAGGAACTGATTATTGTTTCTTCTTCTACATTATTAAAAGAAGGATAGATACTCTACAATCAAAGAAGGAACTTGTAGTGTTTGATTAAATTAATTGTGCTGCGTTTACACTATAATCAAATGAGAAACTTGTAGTTTTATGTTTTTGTAATTGTGCTGTTTGTTACTTTACAATCATAAAAGGAACTTGGAGTTTTTACTTGTTTGTAATTGTGCTGTATGTTTTTTCAATCTATTCACCATTCATCAGGTAAGCATGTTGATGGTTCTCTCTACCATAACATACTTTCTGGTTAAAAGCCCTCTTAACCAAACAAACATATTTTAGAAGTTTGCAATCCGAATGACTGTGTTTAGGTTGTGTGCTTACATCAAGATGTGCCAGTACAAGTGGTTATAGGTTAAAAACTGTTGCACAAAGGTAAATTGTATTATTGAATTATATCAAACGTACCCATGGCCTTCTTGGTCAACAAACATCTCATGGTAGGGAAACTGTCTGTGGAGATCTTTACGGATGTCATCGACCCAGCGAGAGTCACCTTCCTGGTTACAGAGATCCTGATACAACCGTGGGTGTTCATCCATCAACAGCTTAGCTCCACACAGATACATCCAAGCTCTCTGTCTTACTGACGGAGGGATACCCTTTCTGCAGCGCTCTCTTACCTATGATAACAATATACAAGTCATTTTAACTAGATTGTTCAAATAAAGACATATGTTGATTTTAGTTGAAGAAGTTAAATAAAATAACTACATCAAAAGACTCATGGTACAATTTTTACCAGCCTTAAGGCTTTTTTTGTGGGGGGGGGGTTTGGGGTATTCATCTACCCCTTGCTACTTCGGCCTGTTGACCTACCCCTCAACTCAGTCTGACAGTCCTAGGCTTTTGGCATAGCCTACGAGCTCTGACCGGTTTCCTCATCTCTAGAGGTCCCAATTGTGATCTTTCCAGAGACTTCAACCTTTTTTGGGCCAGCGCTGGACAAAGTGTTCAGTGGTCTCAATCTCTTTTTCACAGAACCTGCCTGCATTGGTCTGTCTGTGACCTCCTATGGTTCTAAGATGTTTCATAATAATAATAATAATAATAATAATAAAAATCTTTATTTGTCATAAGGATACATTAGATCATCGACAAAGTCAAAATCATGATTATACATCAATTGTCAAACAAAACAAAATCAAAACACTTTCAATATTTTTAAAAAACAATAGAGGGCTTAATAACTAAAATATGTACAAATGACTAAATAAACAACAATATAAGGACCTGATAAAGCAACAGGTTAGCAGCAGGGTTATACAATCAAAGATTTATTTGGCCAGATTTGAACAAATCGTCCAGGCTATAAGAAGGGTTGTCTAATAGCCAATTATAAAACAAGGACTTAAATTTTTCTTGCGGATAAGCATCAATATTGTGTTTTAAAAGGTTATATACTTTAGTTGATAACACTATGTGGCTCTTGCTAGTCTTACTCAGACGATGTGATTCTAACAAGGCACTATTTTTAAATCTGGTATTGTGATTATGATTATTGAATTTTAGGTAATGGGGTTTTTTTAAGATAGGTCCAGGCCCAGTTAGCATCCCTATTAGTTATCTGATGTCACCCTTATTTAGGCTCAGTAAGCCTTTCCAGTCTTTCATTGAGGGGTCTATAAGTGTTTTTGAAGTTTTTAGTCCTAGTTTATGTTCCGTTATGTTGAGGGTGAGGTTATGTTGACATTGCCAAGTATGAATGTAGTAATTTTGTGCTCTTCAATAAAAGTGGTAAAAACTAATTCATATTAACTATATGGCATTAAAAACAGTATAAATAGTTTTTTTTATTTTGCAGCTGGCTGGAAATATAATAAATACCTGTACAATATTGTGCATACTGTTTTAATTTGATTACAAATTTAGGAGTTACAAGTACAAAGTTAGCCTCATTGCAAGGAGGTTAGAACAGTTTTTTTTTATAAATTAGTTTATTTGACATTGACAAACAAATAAACTTTTATAAGTGTATGCCTGTAAATCATAAGTGGATCTAGCTAATTCAGTTATTATAATTTTATATTTGTAGCCTACACAACCTTCTGCATAGACAATTAAAAGTTTTTTTACAAAAACACTACTTACCATTATATGTATTTTAACAACCAGTGCACAAATAATCCATAAGTATACAAATAATATAAAGAGTTAGGTCAATGTACCTACAGCACTGATCAGACACTATATCTTCAAGAAATCGCTCACAAACAAATCAGTTGTCAACTACTTGAGCCTAGGTCATAAGTTCATCATCATCTGTGATAAGAATCAAGCTAGACAGAATAAGGATTTGTTATCTACATTCATACTGATTTATTAGTCACATAGTTCATAATATTATCACACCTAATTTCCTGTTTGCTTTGGTTAATTTAAATAATATTTTGTCTTGTACCATGTGTGATAAATGCTGAACATCAGGTTTATACACAAATCAAAAACTGATCAAAGATACAGTTACATGAATGGGAGAGTAAAGGTGTTGTTATAAAAATGGGACAACATTTATTGTTTCAAGAAAATGACTTAAACTTTGGCAAGGTTGAAATACCCATCTGAATATGTTGGGTTTGTATCTGTATCTATTTATTTTCAACCTGTATATGTTGAATGGGTATCCAAGGAGATCTTTTCTATTACCAGGACAGAATATTTAAATTTACTACAGAGTCAGTAGCTCAAAAACATAAGGAAATATACAAGAAAGCTTTGGTTGAAATTAAAGCCGCCTGGGAGTTAGCTTAAGTTACTAACAAAACCACGAGCCCATTTACTACAGTTCAGGGTTAAAAAAACCCCAATTAAAGATACCTCTCTTAATTTATCCACACTCATGAATACAGCATGCAGCTCCACTCCTAGTGGGCATGGTAGTCAAGAAAGCTTCAATGAAACATTATGGTATTATAAGTGACAAATGTTCTGAACTAGAAATATAATTGATTCAGCAAAGACGCTAAATGATGAGTTAAAACAATCTAGTAGGGAGGATTATTTTACACAAATACTGAAACAAGAACTGGATAAGACTAAACAGAAAATAGAAACCTTCAAGCAGCAATACAAATTATACAGGAATAAAATTAAAAAAAAAAAAAAAAAAAAAAAAAAAAAAAAAAACTCATGCAAGATATTCATACTAAGAATGAAAGTCTTCACTGTTTCCCTCCAATGGAAAGAACATCTCAGGATAAACCATTGGCATTTGGTCAGGCAAAAATCAAGAACAGGGATTAATCCTAGTAACAATGAGACAAATTTTGAATGCACTAACAGCTATGACATACTTATATTGGATGAAGCGGAGGGGGAGACAGGAGCGAATACAACATTGGCAACTGAAAATGAAAATTCGAACAGCAATAAAAGAAAGCAAAATTTAACAAAAAGAAAGCAAAATTTAACAAGAAAACATACTGGAAAATTAAGTGATTTAACCAAAAAGGACGAGAAATCTAAACTTATTATTCTCAGCGACTGCCACGGAAAAAAATTAGGACATCTAATTGAACAGAGGGCTTCATTTAATGTATGCTCATTCATAAGGCCAGGAGCAAGAATGGAGCATGTTATTGAAGAGGTTGAAAACCAACAAAAAAACTTACAATGAATGATTACCTTCTGGTAATCGGTGGCACAAACAACATAGAGTGCCCTGGTGCTATGCAAATAACAGATAGTGATTCTTCTTGAGGTTCCGAAGGCTCCTATGCCTTTAGCGAGGACGTTCCAGGCAAGTTTCTGAACAAGGAAGACACCAAGGTTTTTTGTTTCCTTCACTGACATCACTCTTTTCCCCCAAATTTCGGGGGGAATCAGTTTTATTCTCCTTCTCTTGAACGAGATTAGCTCCGTTTTGCCCGGGTTGATGGCGAAGCCCTCTTTTGAGCACCATCCCTCAATGAAGCTCACAGCTGTTTGGGTGAGGTGTTCCACAGTGGCTGTGTGTTTCCCTCTAATTTTGAGCACTAAATCGTCTGCAAAGGCTAGTATATATTGAAGTATGTATTTTATTTATTGTGAGAGGGGTGGACTTGTGGTCCAAGCACGTCAACCGAAGCTTACTGTGCATACCACTTGCCGCTAACTGGGTAAGCCTATGCCTGTGTCTTTGACTAGGTGCAGAGGAGATTTGCCCAATGTTAGCATCTGGTTCATCACCTGGCTGCTTCAAACCAAACAGAGCCCTTCTCCTAGCCCCAAGTACATCGCAATCTAGAATAAAGTGTTTTGCAGTCTCATAGGACATGTTGCAAAGTCGACACTCCTGATTGTCATTCACAATTCCTAGAGTGTGGAGGTGTTTCCTGGAATGGCCATGTCCAGTGATAAGAGCAAGTAGTCCAAGTCGTCTGCAAAGGCTTGGAGGTCCATGTCTCTTCATTCAGCCTCTCTCAAAAGGTCATCCACCACCAATGCCTACAACAAGGGCGAGATGACTCCTCCTTGGGGGCAACCTTGGCGGGATGTGATTGCTGCAGAGCAGCCACCAATTTCTGCTGTCACCTCCCTGCTGTTTAAAAGATCCATAATCCAACAGCAGGGAGGTGACAGCAGAAATCGGTGGCTGCTCAGCAGCTTTAAGGCTTAAAATAAATCTATCAACAGATAGGAAATCGGAATGTTACTTAAAATCCTTATATAATCACTGTGCAGTAGGTGTTATTGTACCACATTTCTTGGTTGTTGATAGTTGTTAATTACCTTTTTGTAGTTTTGTGACATGAACTTTTCCCAATTTTCCAGCATCTGAAGCCATTTCCTTTCTCGTTTAAGAATAACTGCAGGCGAACTCAGTCTTTTTCTAGAAACAAAAAAGATCCTTAAACCTAAGTACCTATAGACCTACTATAAAGCCTAAAAATCATTTTATAAGTGATCATCATAATTAGTTTAGCACCTGTGATGCTAATAATCAGTATTTGCTTTTAACTAAGAAAACCAATTAATATTTTGTTGTTTTAGATGACAGAGAGGGTAGGATTTTGTCTCCCAATTAGTATAATTGAACCTTTATCATATACAACCTAGCCTATGTTTTAATTGTGTTTACTTAACATGGAGGCCTATATGAAATGTGGATTCGTTTTTGGGCTAGAAAATATATTCTTTGGAGATCATAGATTGGAAATCAGAAATCATAATTTGTTACTACATGGACTTTGAGAACAGTAATAGTGTCAGTTAATACAAATACATACGTACAATATATACAATATGTATTTTATCCATACATCTGGCTACTACAAACCCCCGTTGGAGACAAAAGGTTATACTGTCGGCCAGAGCATGATTTCTGAAAATATAAGTGCCGAAACTGTAACCTATTTTATGTATACCTATTTAACTGTAACCTGTTACTATTGTGATTCTGACAGTGTTTTAAAGAATATTTTGACATACCACAATGTATTAATACATTGATGATGTGGTTGCATACCCCCTGACCTGACGATGTTCTAAGGAACGAAACTAGTCGTCATACCAGCAACTGTGGTTGGATAAGGTAATTCTTCTATTTTATCAACTATTTAATGTGTTTCGTACCTATTTTATGCCAATGTGTTATTTTTCCGAAAGAGAGGTAGGTACTAGAACACTGTTCCGCCGTGTTCCGTTGCAAATCCAGGGTGGCTACTGCATCAGTAATTTTAAATTCCCTGACTTTTCCCTGACTTTTCCCTGACCAATATATAATTTTCCCTGACCAAAAATACAGGTGATTTGCGTTAAATTAATGTTCTTACTTAGATATAATCACTAAATAAAACATAAAAATTACTGACTTCAAGCTATAGAAGCGTTTTTCAGGTTTTTCATTAATAGATTGCTGAACGTAAAAAGTCGAATAAATAGGCTAGGCCTACTAAAATATAAATATTTTATGGTTAATAACTGATGGAGTAGGCTTACCCAAATATATACTAAGATCAAGATGATAAGAAGAAAAAAGAAAGTGAAAAAATATAGGCTAGCCTATCACTGCTAGTTTTGGGCTATTCAGATAATCAGATATAGGCCTACTCTATAACATAAATAAACTTGCTGCTGGTATTTTGAGTAGAATTTTATTAGTATACTTACAGCTGTAGTAGTGCTGCTAAGTTTTCAACCACTCCTATTAAATCAAAGTTTATGTACAATCTATTTACACTGCACTCCACGAACATTTGTACAACTTATTTACATTTTTTCACATCCACATCATTAGTTTTTCTTTACAATACTTTTGATCTGCTCATTCAGCAGATCAGTTTGTTTTTGAGCTTCTTCCAGAATTTTTATTTTCTTAGTTTCTAATTCCTTTAAAAGTAGCTGCGCTTTCCTCTTATTCTCATTCTTCTCTGCTTCTTCTGTCATAACTCTCTTCTTTTCTTTTGAAGCTTCGACAAACCTGGAATGGGCATTTCTGGCAGAATGTATGAGGAGCTTATCAACATCCAAGTTTTGTATGCCACCCTTGGTTGAAATTGTGTCATAAACGACCCTCCTTGCTACGAGAAGTTCACATTTCATGTTTTCCATTACACATTCTGAATTAACTGAAAACCCTCTTTCAACATTTGCGTTTCCATGAGAAAGGGTTGAGACCAACTTTAAAACTTTAAGTAAATGTGGACTTGAGCCAACGGTTACAAGATTTTTCCAAAACTTGTCAAGACGAACATTTCGATTGTAGGCTTTTAACTGGATCATGGACTCAGGCTGCTGACAAATAGTTTCATACTCCCTCATGACTTTGTCCACAACTGTGCTAGTGATCCAATTATTCTCCAACAAAATTGTCAATAGTAGCTCCATCCTCTTCTTTGCGAGACCAAAATTCACTGTGACTACTTGTGGATCGAAACATGATACTGCTCTAGTCAATTTAAAAAACAAAGGTGACTTTATTAACATCTTGTTGATAAATTTTAACAAAGCATTTTTACAACTTTCTCTAAATTTCAAAATTTGTTGGTCAGAGATATTTTTTTTGTTGACTTTTGAAATAGCATTTTTTGTGGCGATACCAATAGCTACATCTTTACAGGGCAATAGGTTACTTTTCTCCAATTTTACCTCTTTCACAGATTTTGCTCTCTTTAATTCTTCTGGATTTACAATTCTATCCATCTGTATTTTTACCAGTGTAGTCAGATCGTTAAAAAGGAAAGGCGCCATCGGGACATCACTTTGGAATTGTGTCAAAAAAGGCTCCACATCAGAAGCAAGACCTTTGAAAAATTCCAATTTAGCATGAAGCAACGGATCTGATATAGCCTTTGAAATTACATCAAAACTGTAGGTGTTGATGGCTTTGGATTTGTTTACTTCTTCAACAAAAAGTTTCAGGCTTGGAAGAATGTCTATTGCTCGCTGAGCCACATCAGCATTGTGAAGCCACCGAACTGAACAAAACTTCTTGGGAAACAATTCAGACTTTGTAACAAAAATGAAGTGAGCCCTCCTAGCCGGACTGTCCTTAAAGAGGTTATACAGGGCTCTAAGGAATGGCACGATACCCCAACCTGTTTCTATCATTGCTGACTTAAAAGCATTGTGTAAAGTATGAAGTCCACAGCTGCCCAAATCTAAGATTTTTTTGTCATCTGGCTCACTGTTCATGTCATCTTTAAAGTCTTTCAAAAATTTAAAGTTAACATTAGGTCCGTCCATAGAAATCTGAAGAATTTTCTTTACGTCTACAGATTTAAGACCATCTTTAAAGGCATTGACTAGATCAGCAGCTGTTGCACGGCCTAAGAACTCAGAAGTTAAATAACGGGTTACTACTTCATCAGAGGTATCATCCCAAAAGCGGATATTAATATCCATCTGTTGCTTTTGGGCAACTTTGTTCAATGATTCATCGAATCCAACAACTAAAAATTCGCATGTGTTTACTTTCTGTATCAGTTCTTTTTGGAAATGTGGGGCAATGCCATAAGCGAGAAGGTAGCCTACTTTGTCACGCTGCATTTGCATCTTTTGTGCTATTTCACTGTCAGGGAACATATGCTTAAAAATACTTACATCACTGCCTGCAGTTCGCAGAGACTTATGCGTCATAACACTTTGTATAGCCCATATAATTTCAGATTTTGTAACACTGTCATTAAACAAAAATCTTTTTAGCCCACGAAATGTGTTGGCATCTTCTTGAGTAGGCCTAACCATAATAGCCGTATCCGTAGAGCTTGAAGCACTTGAGTCCGTCGTTGTTGCTTGCTGTTCACTTTCTAAGGGTTTGGAACCAGACGGGACCGATTGCGACTCACTAGGTCTAGTTAAAAAACATTTAACAGAAGCAGACTGTTGACGAGCTCGCATGTTTTTCTTGTGTTTTTCGCCTGTCATGTGACTCGTAACAGCGCGGCGGCCCATATTACTCAAATTAAATGTTTTTTGGCAAACTTTGCACTTAGCCACTTTTGTGTTTAGTGGTACACGCACAAGCCACGAACTAAACTCAACCTCGTTTAGCCAATTTTCTTGAAAAACTGTCAGTTTTGACATCGTTAATATAATATTAGGACGAAACGATTAATTAATACGACACTCAAAACCAAATCATACTGAAAAAACAATCGAACAATAACATTTACATTGCGCAATACCGGTAAGTAATGGCCGACCAAGACTCTGACTACTAACCACTTTTCGTGTCGTCAACGTCCGATACGAACTCCCCCACTTTCCATAAAAATGGAATCGCCCAGCCGTTGTCTTGACAACGGTCTCGTTATCGCAATCGCAGTCGCTGATTCGCTATGAGTCACTGAGCACGCGCATCATCATAATCGTCACTACCCACCCCACCACCCACCAAATTCAAGAATCCGACATTCTATTCTTTGTTTTTGAGGTGTTCTACTAAAAAACAAATTTCAATATCAACTAACTATTATTATTAATCAGTTATGTATATATATTTTATTGAAAAACATACTGTAACATCTTACTTTACATCACGAAAAAATGATAAATTGGTTTTTACAAATGTTTGCAGAAACTACGTGAACAAAATAGTCCGTATTTAAAATTCGAAGTATGTTGTAAATGTTAGGCTGTAAATAACTAATGCATTAGTGTGAGACATTTAGTCATCCGGCCTGTAATTTTGATAACAGAAAGAAAGAAATATATTGAGAACAACGTTAGAACAGAGGTAGAGTGTGTACGTGCGTGTGTGCGAGAGAGAGAGAGAAAGAGGGAGAGGGAGAAGGGAGACAACCGTAGAGAAACACAACAAACATAGGCGAATGGCTGGAGGGAGGGAAAGAGAAGATTGAGCAACGAAAGTGACCTTGAGGCATACTTAGCGACGTAGCTGTTGTAATGCGGGTGGTGGTGAAGGGGGGAGGGGTGGCAGGCGGCCTCACGGGGTCTCACAAAAACGATTACACCACTCAAAAATCTTTTTTAAACTCAAATATTTTTACTACTCGGGTACTCGACCAACCCTAGATAGCATAATTATTTGACGTTCATTCAGTTAAGTCATAAATTATCGGTAGGCTAAAAAATAATTCTTGCAATCAATATTAACCCATTATTTATTTTGGTAATGTTTATATTAATCATTAATTATAGTTATTTGTAGAAGAAACAAAATTTATTTAATTATTGAAGTCATTTTTAATAACAATAAAGCCAAGGAGCAGAGTGGGATTGGGCCACTGTCCCCCGCCCGATTTCCTCGCTGCTACTAGCAGACGAAACCTCTTGTCAACACGATAATGCGGACTCACGGCGGAAACGTATCCACGCAACAACATTCATTCAACTTTAAGTAATGTAAATATTCTGTGGTTATACTTTTCTATTGTAATCATCAATATATATCGCCAATCTACTTGTTTAACACAATTATTAAAATGCATATTTTCCCTGACCGTTTGCAAATTTCCCTGACTTTTCCCTGACTTTTCCAGAATCTTTTATATCCCTGACTTTTCCCGGTTTTCCCGGTTTTCCCGGTCGATCGCCACCCTGAAATCGAGCACTGCTGTAGGCCATTTAAATTGAAATCAAAGCTGAAATATTAATTAAGGTGTTCAGCCAACCGGGAAACAGAAAAACTGGATGCTGTACATAGATTTTGATTACCAAGAATTAAGTCCATGAGCTTTAAAAGAATTTTATATGGAACCAGGAAATTTGGAATTATAGCCAATATCCTTTGGCTGAGGGTCCATTTTTTATTAGGGTAATACAGTGTTCTTTTTAGTGATGTGTTGGTTCCATTTTTAAACGGTTCGGTTCTTGGCCAAAAAACGGTTCTCGGTTCCCGGTTCTGATTTTTAAAAATATGGAAAAATTTACATATGCTGATATTTATTTTATAAACATTTTAGTTCATCTTAAAATTAAAAATGCTTCAGGTGGTAGCAGAACTTCCACCTCTTGATATTGAGTTTTACTTTTGTCTAGCCTAAAATATTTGTGAGCTGGAAGAAGAAGCAGTATGATGCAATACAGATATCACGTATAGTCGTTATCGGCTTTTTTGCTTTACGATGCAATTAATCTGGAATGAACAGACATAAAGCAGAGAGGAACTACCGAGGTCAAATGAAACTCAACTCGTGCTTGCCATAATAGTTTACAGCCATTGTATGTATGGAGGCAATAAATTGATCAATTGTTCCGTCTCCGGCCACTTGGATAACTAGAAGTGTTTTGGTTTTCATGTACTGTCTTAAAGTAGAAAAATCGGCTACTGTACCGGTACTGCTACTGCTACGTAAGCAAGAGATTTAATGATAAAAAGTTAGAATAGAAACACCAGAATGGAAAGATAAAACAATAGAAGGGTGCCAGGGGTTGAGCAATTACCTTGAAATGAGCGCTCAGGCCACAATGAGTCAAGTAGAGTGGGGGGAAGGAGTGGGTGTGACCTTGAAGCTATAACCATAACTGAATTTGGAACGTTACAAGGTCCCTTCAAATTCAAGGTTTTTTTCCGGTTCTCCCGGGTTTCCCGGTTGGTATACATCCTGTAATATCTACTTCCCTATAGGGAAATTTGCTAAAAGAACAAATATCTAAGCTGAATGTCATTTCTAGAGAGCAATTCCGATTCAAATACGGGAACAGTTAATATGAACAAAAATTGGAGTTTAGCAGGGACCGAACATGGGCCTTTTGTTGCACTTGTCATGGCTACTTAAATAATCTCTTGGAGTGATTTTTGTAGGGTGTGCTGTATTTTTTCAGCTCTACTTACGGTTCAGGGCTGTACTGGGATCCCCCAAGAAAGCCGTGGCGATCAGGCACAGTAGATACAACAGACCCATTATTGAGCACTGAACTTGCTTCTGAGCAGCAGTCTTCATTTTCTTGATCACTCATAGCGAAGACTGTAAAAGTTCTCTTCTGTCTCTAGAAGTTATCTAACATTGAAAGAGAAAAAACAAATAAAGTAAATTAGGCTATATCAATTTCCTTAATCAAAGAAATTATAAATCTATTAGGTTAAAGCAGAAAACTATTTAACTTAGGCCTATGTTAATATTAGTTTAATTTAGAATAGTTTAGGCAGAGGGTTTTCATACTGTTTTAACGAATTTTGTTACCTGTTGAGCTATGCTAAACAGGTCCATCCATGGCAAGAAACTCTAAGTTAGGCTTTATTTTATAGAAATCCTGCAATCCTTCTAGAAGCAAGTTTTTGTGCTCAGACAGTAAATCTAACATTTTTTGCTACTTCCCAGGGATGAATGTCCCCAAAGAATGTCTAAAAATAATGTAGCCTAGGATCTTAACATTTTTAATAAACAGAGGTTTTAAAAAATAAGCGAAATTCGGTTTTCGCCTATTGGGTCTGATGATGATTGGAGTGTCCAATCAAAATCGATCACCACTTACCATCTTTTTTGTATATTTACCGTCTTGTGACAGTATAAGCGGAAATATGTCTTAAGTGTTATAAGACGTTTCTTTTATTTACTTTCCGTTAAAAAATAACACCTTAAAATATGTGTCCTGTGCAACCTAAAAGAAAAAGATTGTTTTGAACAAATTCAAGAGGCTCATAACGATGTACGCATCAATGTTCATGGTAGACACCATAATACAGGGTTATTAAAAAAGAATGGTGCAAAACTAAACGGTTGTTACGTCCGTTTTTGTGATTTTAAACAGCTGATAGTTACACCAATGGAAAGGGTGTGTTTATAAGTTTGTTTTGACAAGGTTATGTTTTGTCTCAGTTGCTTGGTTGAGTACCACGAAGCATGTCAACAAATGGCTAGATTAATACAAAACAAGAAAAACCATTTTATTTTTTAGAATATGCTCGTACTAATGCTATTGTTTGTGTTTAGCAGAACTTTCAGACTAAATTTAGGAGGGAAGCTCATTATCAGAGCTTTATAGCTTGTTGGATGAGGCAATTCAAGACAACTGGATGTTTGTGTGCCGACTTTTCATAAAGTGCCAGACACTGCAGAGAAAATTGAAGCTAAGTTTGCGCAGAGTCCAAAATCCTCGACAGTCAAAGCTGGTAGGGAACTTTACATAGGTATGTACAGCAATCCACGGTTTTACACAAGCAGAATATGAAAAGTCAAATATGAATTGTCAAATATGAATAGTCAATGAATATGAAAACCGTAGTCATTTCAGTTTCCATCTTTAAACAATACAATAGGTTATGGTGAATAATTTTATCAAAAAACAAATGCAAACTAATTTTGGCTTACCGTACATAATATATTTAAGTTGAACAAGAGAAAACGTGGCATGCTTAGGCCTATAATATTATAAAATGGAGATTAGAGGGATCTCTACCAAAGACAGGGTGTCTACTACATTCTGGATAAAAAATTCATGGACAATTCCCGTACATTTAAGGACACTTTGCCGTAACCTTTGTCGGTGTCATTAGGCCTACCGAATAATTTTCCTGATTTGTCAAACTGTATTAATCTTGTTATTCCCTGTAGTTGTACCAGAGAGAAAAGTAAATAATAATAGGTAAGAGTTAAAAATTTCAAAATAGAAATTTATTGAAAGTAAACAAACATAGGCCTTCCTATACTTTAGGTAAAGCTTTTATAGTGTAACAGAGAAACTCAATCATTGTCTCCTGCGATAGCGACAAATATCTCCATCGGTCACGTAAACTTCATAACATAGCTTATCCGATCCAGGCCGATTAATTTGGCATGATTCGCCCTGGCACAACGTTAGGTTCTCGACTACTTTTGAAAAAAAAATCTTTAATGCATATTGTTACTCAATTCTTAGTACAAAATCAAGGTATGGTAAGCGGCTATTAATAAGCAATAAGCACAGAGTAAGATTATTGTATTTTCATTTGCAAAGTTAATATCGACACATAGCAATCATTAGTTGTTTATCTTAGGCTCAATAACATTTTCTTAATATATTTTACAGCTCTTTCAAGAATCAAAATACCCAGGCCTAGACCTAATTATTTAGGAGGGCCTATATAAACTGAGTAACAAACAATGAGGTTATAATAGCAGCAAAGTCACTATCATCATTCTAGTTAATAAGATTTAGATTGCTTAAAGCATACAACTCAATAAATAAATATATGGGAAACAAAAAACATTGAAACCTGAATAGCCAACAATATAAGACAAAGATACAGAAAATGCAATGGCATAATTTGAAACCAAGCAGGCCTACATAGTGATAAAACATTAATGCAAACAACAATGCTTGTGGTTTTGTCAATTGAAAGATAAAATGTCCATAAAAAAGGGGTTAACTTACAAAATAAGACTGTATATTATTTACATGTTTAATATGAAACCATAAACAGTTTTATGGCACTAGGCACTGGCCGCGGCAAATTGAGAAGTGGAATTTAACAGCCATTATAAAGCTAATATTTTCACAAAATAGGTTTGGGATCTAATAATAATTACCCTAGTAATAAAAAAAAAGAAGTTGTAAAGGAATAAAAGTGATACAACTTTTATGAGCTAAGTTAGCAGCTGAGTCAACAGTTCTTGGAAGTACTTGACTTGACACTTGATTGTCGTGATAAAATATTAATGAGTTTGAGATTGCTAATGGGATTTTTATTGCATAATTACTCTAGTAATAAATTATGAAAATGTAAACAAACATCTGATTAACCTTTTATGTGCTCCTAACCAACTAGCGATCAATAAAATTATGGCCCATTAAAAATTTAAGGACATAGTCTGGCATTTAAGGACAATTTCCTACATTTCATGGCCAGTAAAAATTTAAGTACAATTCCCCCCGGTTGGTAGACACCCTGCAAAGAGTAATCTGTGAGGATTTAAATTCAGTTTTCCAGTCTTCTTAAGCCTTCATGAGACGACGACATGCATTGGCCTCGTCAGCATCAAAAGATAGAGGGGGACAAATGTAGGAAGGGGGGGCCCACCGGGGGGCTTGGGGGTGCTCCCCCAGAAAAAATTGTAATTTTCAAAGCAGTTTCGTGACTTTTTAAAGCCATTTTTAACACCAAAAACCGTGCCCAATTGTCCATAAACTCCCATTTCACCTGTTGTTTGTCATGAGCAAATAGACAATTTAAAAATTAAACTATGACGATTGCATTAATAAATTTATAAACACGCTGTAGACTACGGCCATATCCTCCTAAAAGCCGTTTGGTGACTTTATACAGCCAGTTTTAACGTCTAGAACTGTGTGCAAAACCTCCCAGCATTTCCCCCTTTATTTGTCGTGAATAAGTAGACATTTTTAAAACTAACTATGACGATCGTATTCATTCATAAATCTCAATAAATATTGTAGGCTACGGCCGTATCCTCACAAAAGCTGTTTACTGACTTTCTAAAGCCATTATTAATGTCTATATCTGTGTCCAACCGTCCAAAAACCTCCCGTTTCACCTGTTATTTGTCTTTGTCATGAGCAAGTGAAGTAGACATTTTACAAATCAAACTATGACGAACTTGCATTCATGAATTTCAAAACATGCCTACTGTAGACTACGAAGCCATATCTCCCAAAAGCCATATGGTGACTTTATAAAGCCATTTCTAACGGCTAGAAATGTGCCCAATTGTCCTAAAACCTTCCATTTAACTGATATATTTATATGCCATGCAAGCAAGTAGATATGTTTTTTTAACCTTACGTTTTCTCCATTTCTTAGATCTGTCACAAAATGTATGGTATCAAATTCAATGACGTTTGAACACTAATATTTAAACCCACAATCTTACATTTTTACAAGCAGGTTTTTTATATAAACAATTTGTTTTTGGCCTTCTGCTCGCTTCATTTGACAATAAACAGTTCAAGGTTCAAGTATCAACTCTTCCAAAAAGTAACAACTAACCTAAAAGAACTATAACCTATACTGATACTACCGACAGATACATCACACGAGGAGAAAAAGGTTAACGTAGGCCTACATCTAAATGTAGTTTCAACCACTGCTGAGTGCCGACTGACGGTGACGGAACGGACTGAAAGTCAAGTCTGACTGAAACGCGAGAAGACATTCAAGATCAAAACAAGCGTCTAGGCATCCAGTTCCAGTGCAACTCGAGGATCGTGGATCAGAAGACCCCTCCACCACCGCACCATGTCGTAAGCTTCCGAATCACACAGCGAAGCGAGCACACCTTGCTTGCTGGCAGTGATCGATCGGGTGAACACGCATTCTGTATGATTTTTAAAATTCCTTTTAAAATTTGGTATGGGGACAAACCTGACTTTTCAAATATTGGGGGGGACGCGTCCCCCATGTCACCTATGGCGGCGACGCCCGTGACGACATGAGAGCTAAATCTGAATAACAATATGCATTAATTTGATTTTTTACCCTTTCCACTCTGATTAGTTGATCCCTTGCTGTCCCACACGCTTGCATTTATTGGCATGCAAAAAAAAACATGTTTAGGGTTTTGTGTAAATATACTGACTAAAATTAATTATTTGTCGTACTTGAGGGCTTTTTATTCTTATTCAGCATAAAATTGTACACAAGTAAAACATAAAATTAAAATAGATATAACCATAAAATATTTTGTGTATGGTCATAAGATGAGAAAAGCCAAATTAACCATACAAAATATTTTTGGGGGCTTTTTAAAAAACGTTAACACATTTCAGGATTTGTAAAACACTTGATCGACATTAGTTATCTAGTAGGCCTAGCCAATTCAAAAAAGGGTTGGAAAAAGGGTTCATTACAAAAAGGGTTAGATATGTTTTAACTGAAAAAATCCATTTTCAAACTATGATTTCTTTTGGTGATTTTGGTCGTTATGGTTTTATACTATCGTCACTTCTTTATTTCTTACTCCACAGCTGACTAAATAACTTATAAATATTTTTCGTGCTACCAAAGACATTAATGAGGAAATCATTGAGTATGTAGTCAACACAAGTTCAAAACATGCTAACACTATAGGCCTACCTATAAAAGGGATTTATTAATAAAAAGCCGATGCTGAAAATGACGTGGCGGCCACAACATACGAGTGAAACTGTCAGACGTGAACGTCGCGGAAGCGGCGACATACGAGCAGAAAGGGTTAAAAGCAAAGGGACTTTAATGCTGTTTAGAAAATACAATAAATAAACTACAATACATTAACTATTAATCACATCAACATAAATTGTATAGAAAAAAAATATAATTTATTCTGGTGAAATACCAGTAGGCCTAATAGAAGCTAGGCCACTGCCGACATGATCATCCTCATTCCAACCCTCAACATCTGTTAATAAACGTTCCATAGTGCATAATCCCTTAGTACATAATCCCATTGTGCCTAAAAAGTGAAAACGTGCCACAGTGCATAATTTCATGTAACAGCAACTAATAAATGATATTAGCCTACATTTGTTATAAGGAAACCCCAACAATGAGGGATTCCATGCTTGGTAACAATATTTTCTGCTCTAGCCCTAAGACATACTGCAGTAAAGAAGTTATTGTTGATACCCTTTTATATTGCATTAGGCTAATCTAATCTCTAATCTATAATCTAACCTAACCCAACCCAACCTTAATATTGATATTATTATGTTGCTTACACATTTTTGATATTGTTATTTCATTGTGTTTCACCCTCTATTTAATCGTGCAAAACAGTCTGGAAGTAGCATAAATTAATGAGTCGGTTCATTATAACCTATTCTTTACCTTCCTAATCTAACCTCACTTCAAAACACTTAATACAGTCACGAATCCGCATAAATCCCGACCTACCTTCCTCACATGCCTAAATAAGAACTGTTGATTTCAAAACGAATTGACTACATTCCGCATTAAGTCAAGTATAAACAGCTGTTTGCTCTCCTCCTCACTCCTCAGTTCATATACGGACCCGTCCAGACCACGCCATATTAAGTTACCTTCAACAGCCACTTAGGAATCTCTCCGACAAAAACTGATGCATTTTTGGATTAAGCGTGAAAAAAACTGTAACTTAAAAAGTAGACATATAAAAATTACATCATATCCCAGTGTAGATACAGTAAATATTTGCCACCATTCTTTTTTAATAACTCTGTATATTTATTTTTGGACATGGCCTTGGCGAAAATCACTACCTAGACTTAAAACTAGAATTAACAGCGATAGGCTAATTAGAACTTAGATATTTATATAAACTGTTCATTTTCTCAATCGGATTATCCTTTCAATTATGCGTACATTGCCTGTGTACAGATCCCCATCACAACTTGTACACAAACAACAGTGTAGATCATGCCAAGATTTGTAACTTTGTAAGTTAACTTAGGCCTATTTTTTAAGTGGGTAATAGAATTAACATTCCTACAATAACAAATCCTGCCTATCAAAAGGAATCTTACAAAAAAATACTTACATAGCCTATATTTACTTTACAGTGCCTGAAAAATCTACCCTGTCTTTAAAAAGGGCGAAAAACATGAACCTAACAATTATAGACCAATTTCAAATCTGCCAGTCATATCTAAACTGCTTGAGCGTGCTATTTATAACCAATTATCTACCCACCTTCAAAACTACAATCTTTTATCCCCATGCCAACACGGTTTCAGAAAGGGCCATAGTACCAACACGGCAATAGCTCATCTATGCAAAACCATTTAAATGATCTGTGGGAAAATAAGTGTAGTGCCTCAGCCCTTTTTTTGGACCTACTTACAAAAAGCCTTTGATAATTTAAACTGGGAAATTTTTCTTCAGAAACTTAAACAGTTCAATACCACGGACCTAGCTCTGAATTGGGTTAAAATTACCTTGATGACAGGCAACAATTTGTCGAATTAGGCTATCAGCACCACAACACAATTGGAACCGTCAAATCATCCTTAAGGAAAACAGTGGTAGGAGTCCCACAGGGATCAATATTGGGTCCTTTGTATTTTCTAAATTTGTATTAATAACCTACCAGAGTCACTGAATCATAATCTGAGAACCATACTCTACGCAGACGATACAACAATAGTAATCCCTAAAAAGTACCATGAGAACAATAGCACCATAGTCAATTCAACCCTGGACGAGGCTACCACTATCTGCAAGTCACTTAAACTCAGCATTAACAACATAAAACCGTTCACATAAGTTTTAAGCCAAACAACTGTAATAGAGCCGATGAGGACTGGCAAGGTTCCAAATTCAAATTCCAAATTCACCAAATTCTTGGGAGTTAACTTATTTATTATAGACCAAAACTTGAGTTGGCAAGATCACACCGACCATCTGTGCAAAAAAATTAGCTACGACGGCTTACCACGTAATTAGACGAATTAGAGCTATGACTGATGAAAACACTGCAATTCTGGCTTACCACTCACTTTTTTCTTCCCATCTGCGGTATGGAATCGTCGCCTGGGGATCCACCCAAGAGAAGAACACAGACCGCATCATAGTTCGGCAAAAGAAGACCCTGAGAACAATATTGCGCCTGCAACCCTCGGAGCACTGCAAACCATTTTTTAACCAACATAAAATCCTTACCGTCTATTCCCTCTACATATATGAAACCATTATCCTGGCCAGACGAAAATCCCCAACCCTACGACAGGAGAAACACTCCTATAACACTCGCAACAAACACAACATTGACCTACCACGGCATAGACTCCAAAAATTTAACAAAACCCCAACCTATTCTGGCTCATTTTTCTACAATCTCTTGCCTCAAGACAAAGAATACCCTGCAGTAAAAAATTGACGATTCCCCGATCGGCTGATCGTGGAGAAGACGCCAGATGTAAGATGTATAGAACCAACTTAGGCTAAATAGCCTACCTAACTTGGTTTCTGAAAAAAAGTTGTTAGGGGTAACTTAGGTTAACTTAGGCCTATTTTCCATTTCATTCAAACCAAACCAAATTCAAAACTACATCAATGGGTATGTTCAGTTAAAGATGGTTTGAGTATAAATTGAATTAAGGCCTATTCACTAGAAAACACCGTTGAAAGTTTATCAATCCTAAAAACAAAAACTTCCATTAAATTAACGTATCAAATATGGGACTGAGGGCTGACTAAGTTACTTATGTTATGACAGGTTTGAGTTGATAAAACCCTAAAACCTAATATTAACGATAACAACACAACACTAACCCATGAATTTTTAGAAACATATAATGACGTTCATCTGAACTTGAAAGTTATCACTATAATTAAGTTATATTTGACAAATAATTAATTGTTACACATCCTAATTTAACTGAATACTGAATTGGGCCATAGACATTCTCTAATTCTCTCACTCTGACTCTGTCTGAGTGACTGACTGACTGAGTGTTGCTCTGTCTGAAACTGACTGAGTCTGGTTAGTCTGGTTGCGATTTCGATTCAGACGTCAGACTGAGTCTCTCTCATGTCAATGTTGTTGTAACTAAATCCGAAAAAAACCAATGGCAGGCCAGGTAGGATTGGATTGGCAGGCCCAGGAAGTGGCTGTAGGAAAATAATATCATAGAATAAAAAAACACCTGTCTGGTGTTTGTTTATTCTATGATAATATTCTTGTGACGCTGTAATATGATAGTAAGTAAGGCATTCTATTTGCAATTTTGTGATATACTATAAAACTATATAACATAAAAATGTACAACAAAAATGGGTTATTTGTTATACTTTAGGGGCTTCTGACGAACCTAAAAAAAGTTTTTTTCTTATTTGGCCTATTTTGTAAACTTTTTATATTTGGCACTTTTGGGGCAAACTCCTATTTCACCCTGAAAATCGCGTTTGAAAATCGCAAAAAGTGCTTAAAAATCTACATTTTTTATAATTTCAATGTGTTTTTACTATTATTTAGGACATTTTGAACACTCTTTCCATGAATAATATACATCTAACCTAACATAACCTAAACGAACTTAACCTAACCTAACCTTGGTTTAACAAAAAATCCGGGTTAGGTCGGGTTAGGTTAAGTAAAGTTAGGTTTGCTTAGGTTATATTATATTTAGTTTGGTAACTACACTCCTCTACCAAACTAAATATATCTAACCAAACCTAACCTAACCTAACCCATGCTTAGGTAAGCAATATACCGAAAATGGCAGATTGATTGTTAAACTAAGGTTATGTAAGGTTAAGTTAGGTTAGTTTAGGTTATATTATATTTAGTTTGATAGAGACGTGGGCCGGGTATTTTCGGTATTTTGCAGTTTTTTATAATTTTTAAAAAATCCGATTTTCTGGGTAAAAACGGCAGATGCCGAAAAAGTGCCAGAGGGTGTTTAAAATGTCCTAAATAATAGTAAAAACACATTAAAAGTTGTAAAAATGCACTTTTTGTGATTTTCCAAAGTGCCAAATGTAAAAAGTGTTCAAAATAGGCCAAATAATGAGAAGAAATCGTTTTTCATTCCATAAAACTTATTTAATAGTCGTCCACCTCAACTGAAAGCCGTACTAGATCTAAAAAAAGTTTAGATCAGGTTTAAAGTCCATGTTTGTTAGACAGATCATTTTACAGCGTCCGTGATTACCTACTTTAGTGGTCATTCACAAAGTCATGTGCGCATGTTTAGTTTATTTAGTTTTTTCCAGTAAGGAATTCAGGTTTATTAAGATGTACTCAATTTATTTTTTCTTGTACCGGTATTGACTTGGCTAATGCAAGTATTGTCAGTTTGGCCCAATAAATGACTTATTGATTTAATATTCGCCCAAATACCCAAAAGCGAATCATACATATCAAAATCTTGTAAAGAGAGAGAGAGATCTTTATTTACAAATCGTTATGATTGAAAATTGCGTCAATTATATTACAGAAACTTCTTTCGAGAGTGTCTTTCAGAATAATTTATCTACCCCCAGAGCTTGCCAGTCCAAGAACTCTCTAACGCCGTAGAGGTTTAATTGGGATTTAATTTAATTCCTCCCATTTAAAAGGGAGGAAGGGCTCAGCTTAGTCCTTTCCCCCCTTCATAGAGGTGACGAATTTATCATTCTATTCCATGCTTTGAATCTTTTTTGATGTGTGATTCATGCTGCTTACATTTGAATGCACCAATGTCAACTAAATGCTTTTCTCTTATTTTAGGGTATATTTTAAGATTTGTGCTTCACCCTTTGATTAGAGAATTAGGATACCATAACAAGCTCTATTTCATTAATATACTGCTATATTCAGTTATAATATTTTTCAATCAAATAATAAGGAAGAAATAACGAACAACCAACAACGAAATTTCCCAAAACCAGAGAAGGGAACAGAGAACAGAAATAGTGCAGGGCCTACCCTTTTAGGTCGCTGTTTCAACTCTGAGTAAAATCAAAACTCTTCTTAATTGGTATGGAACTAGACCCAACTGACCCAACTACGATGGCCACGACCCAACCCAGCGGTCTTGAATCATTGGCTGGCTAAAGAGCCAGCTGATCTTATAATCTAAAAGCAAAGCTGTCATAATAATCAAATCCAACCCTAAAATTGCCTGCTACTAATCCGTGAAGATAAACATTTATAATGGAGCTTATTTTATTAGTTTTTTTATCTATGACAAAACCTTATTTTTTCAAATAAAGTCCTATTTTCAAAGACGGGTCAACATAAACTTATGATTAGTAAGGTTAAAGTACAAAAAAAGTCAGTAAATACGTATGTGCGATATACAAGTTAATGCATATAAAACCTGTTGTTTAAATATAATAATCTATTCTTATTTTAAATTTTATAAGAAGCCCTGAGTTATTGTTGAGAAGGGTAAATATATCTTGCCAGTTTTAATCCGTGAATTTATATGAATTGAAATAATGTAACTTATACATAATGAAAATATAAAGCGTTTCATGCGCAAGCGTTGCGTCAGCGGAAGTAGTGAAGCCATCGCCCAAGATAACGGTTACCTTTACGATAGTAATTTGGGCGAATAGGGCAGTTTTTATTTAGTCAATTATAATTAGTAATTTTATATTATATGTAGTAATATTAGAAAATGTGTTTGTGATTGTAAAAATTTTATCTCTATAGTTAATATCCCCTACCAAACGCGGTACACTTTGGCAAGATTATGGCGGAATGAGCTCATAAAACTTGTCTTGTAATTTAGTATAAGCATTATAACTATTGTGGATTACAGCAGAAATCATTCTTGCCCTGTTAAACCACAGGTATGTAGAAACTATTTTAATAGTATAAATAATTTAAAATAGTTTAATATCTATTAATCTGATCCTTGGTAATTATTAACCCCTTTCCTTTCCACTTAGGGTCTAGGCCGAACCTAGAAATTGTGACTCATTCAATTCCCTATAGGCCTACTCTCCTCAAGCGTGATCTCGATTTATTGTAATTAAGTATTTCTATGGTAAATGTAATAGCAAATGTCTTAGTTGCTACCTTATTTGAAAAAATATGCTTTTTATTCAAGTGTTGATAACCTTCCCCAATAGGCTAGGCCAGTAGGCCTACCGGTAGTTATTCTTAATCCATTGTAGCCACTAAGCATACATAGTATTATACTTTAGATTAAGTTAATTCAGAACTTAACAAAATTAGGTTATGATTCTGTCCATGCATTTAAATAGGCCTAAGTCAAGACTGCATTTTAATTAGCCTTAACTTGGCTAAATACGAAGGCTGTTTTAAGTTAGCTCAGAGCCTAGTATGTATCTTTGCTTTAGGACTGTCTGTTAAGAGAAGACAACAAAGTATTGTCTCTTGCTGTCAAATACTCTGACCTAACATAGTGTTATGGAACATAATATCAAATCAAATGCAGGCAATGCTAGACTAAATTTACATAGGTCTACTCCTGGCTGCTTGTTAACCTGTGTTTACTGGTTTCCCTCCTTTTAGCTAGGTCATAGTTGCATACTGTAAACGATGCACAAACACGATCAGTTGCTAACTCAATGAACATTTTAAACTTGTAAGTTTAATGTCCTCCAGACTTAGCCTCACGTAGGTTGTTTTGGAAGGAAACTAGTTTACAGCCAGGCTTAAGTTAGGTTTTTTTCATTTAAGTTTTTGATTAAATATTTTAGGACAGTTCTTTACTTCTAGGAAATCACTTGACATAAGAAGCCTACCATTAACGTTTAAAACAAGTAGGGCTCAATGTCGTTTTACCACTGAGGTACAGGACTAAACCAATTAGGCTTACTTCAGTTACCTCACATCACCTTTAACCAACATTGAATATAGGCTTAGTCCCTCATCGAAACATAGGCCTATGATATGTCAAATCAAATCAAATCATCTTTATTTTGCACAGAAAAAACTGTATAATAGCGTCACAAGAATATATTTAACAAAACTAAATTATAAACTTTAAAAAGCTCAGTGTTCTCCAGCCGGCTCCCGCGACGGTACAGTTAAATAAACACAGGCCTGTATTCCGTCCCCGAGAACCTTTTGTTAGTATGTCCGTATGTGTTCGTGTATGTGTTCATGTGAATTTGACGACGTCCAAGCGACCGACTGTGACAAAAACTATGCTTTGATCTTGACATGTCCTACATGACTATGACGCAAACGGCGTCGAAACCATGGTTGTAGCTTTTATACAACATTTTTGAGCTGTGACGAAAATACAAGGTAGGAATAAACTAAGTTACTATTAATATATAAATTATAAATGTTGTTATAACTAAAACGTAACTGAACAGTATCTTAATTCGATCGGCAACTTAAAAAATCTTTCACAGTGTAGGGAGCTTGTTCTAAGAGTATGCGTTTAACCACTCTCCCAAATTTGTCTTTGTCTTGCTCCACTTTCAGGGGTTCAGGCAACAAATTGAAAAACCTTATAGTATTATAAAATAGGTGTCTTTCAAAGAAACTTGTCCTGTGCTTGGGTAGCTTAATATTGTTTTTTTGTCTGAGAGTGTACTGCATTGAATGGAACTGCGGTTGATACAGATGATAGGTAATTTCTTTTTAAAAACGATATACAACTCAGTAGGCCTATGTAAGTTATATGGATGGAAATGTGAGAATATTGTATTCCTTGAAGAGAGGCTTGCAAGAAGTACGATGGGATATTTTGAAGGCTGCTCTTAGGGCTTTTTTCTGAAGACGGAAGACAAACTTTGTTCGTACGCTCTCACAGCCCCAAACTGCCACCAAATACGACAATAATGGGTAATCAGTCCATAATAGGCACTCAAGGTTACACGAGAATCGGTAAATTTCAAAAGACCTCTAATCACAAAAATTCCTGTGCTAATTCTTCTGGATATGAACTCTATAGCCTGTGGTCATGAAAGTTGAACTGTCTGTCTAAGACCAAACCAAGAAACTTAGCATTGCTGCAAGAATAGATCTCTTCGTCACCTATCAAAACAGTCAGTGGGACTTGCTTTTTTGTTTTGGAACCATTGCAAAGCTCTATTGGAACTCTCAAATGCTATTGTCTCTAGATGAGCCACGTCTATAGCTGAGACGTAAAGTGAGGTGTCGTCGGCATATAAACAAACATCTACATTTGAACTTGGATTATTTGATACAAAAGAAAGCAGGTCATTAATGAAGAGCAAAAACAGGATTGGGCCGATGATAGAACCCTGGGGAACTCCCCGAATAACAATAGACGAAGCAGAGGTAGCATGATTACGAATTTCTTGGCAGTCAATGAAGGGTATCTGGACTGATTGAGTTCTTCTTGAAGAACGGATGACACCCATTTGTAAGCTAAGCCCCGTACTTCAAAAAGGGTTTAAAGCTTTTCCAGAAGAGTAGGGTGATCAATCATATCAAATGCTTTAGACAGGTCAACATTTATTCCCCGTACAGCGTCTCCAGAATCTAGGGCTCCTGACAAGAATGATACAACATGATTGACTGCGTCAAGGGTCGATTTTCCCTTATCAACCCAAACTGGTGGGAAGACAAGATATTATTTTCCTCCAAAAATGACAAGAGTCTGTTCAGAAAAAGACGTTCGAAAACCTTGGAGAAAGTTGAAATTAAGGAAATTGGCCGACAGTTGCTAGAATCATATTTGCTTCCATTCTTATGAATGGGCCTGTATGAAGTTTGCCTATCCTTGTAATCATTGATTCTCTGTAAAATTCTTTTATCTGGAGTGGTTGTACCCCTATCTTTTTGGTAAAACAGGGGTTTACTGTTCATACAAATCCCAATCAAATAAAATTATATAAGTAGGCCTACAGTAGGCCTAGGCCTATAGGTCTATTCTAATTTTTCTTTTAACCACTACGAAACCGTTTCTATGTGTGAACTGTTTCTGGGAGACGTGGCTCTATATTAAAACGTTCACTCTGACGTGTATCACCGGTGTTGCATAGGCTAATTTGAATTTCGGTAAAAAGCAGATAATTTAGCCTATGTGTAGGCTACTAAATAGCATAAAAAAAAAAACGGCTTCAGACAGTGACGGTTGATAAGACCAAAATGATAAGTTAAGTTACGGGTAACTAAAATGCAAAAAATCACACAGAAAACAAAACCAAAAGCAAACCATGCATAAAAGTACTGGCAAAACAAATCAATCCGTTACTTACATTAGAACAACTCTCTCACTGTCTTCTTTGGAATGTCGAAAAATTCGCTGGTCTTATAAAAGGGGAAAGGTCAATAAAAGTGCCCAGAGGTTGTTTTATAAGTTTCTGTTGGTTTGGTTCCAAGCTGTACAAGAAATGTGGATTAAAACAATAGGTTAAAGTCCAGGCAATGGTAGTAATAATACATTTTAAGAATTCGCTAGAAATATTATATGTACATCCTTACCCTTGGTATTTGTCATACTATGGACCACTTTTAAGACATCATCACACCCCATAGCCTCCATTTTTAAGCTTGGTTTGCACCTGGGGAGATTGGCTCATCAGTTGAAAACATTTTTTCAACCCACAAAAATAATGCAAATATTTTTATTTTTCCTACAGTTACCTAACAATGTACATGTTCTCTCACTGATTTGAGAAAGCAAAGTGGCCAATTCGCTCATCAGTGAGACAATGTTAACATTGTCTCACTCTAATTACTTTGTCTCACTCCAGATTTGCAACGTGAAGGCACGAAATAGTGAGTGCGTAACATGCAGGCAACGTCGTATGCGCGCGAAATACGTTGGCAGCACTGGCCGTAAATCAGCTGGTCAGCTGTTGTACTGTTGTATTTGTCACTTCACATTAAATGTTATATTAAAAGTTCACTTCTGTGTTAAAATAGGTTATGTTTCTTCACCAATTTATTTGTTTTATGGTAACTGTAGGAAAAGTATAATGTGCAACTCGAGTTCAAAGTACAATTGCCTCACTCGAGAAACCATTCCTCACGAGCCATCTCGAGTGAGTCAATTGCTCACTTTTCTCACTAGTTGCACAAATAACCATTACCTAATAAAATAGAACCAGCTGTTCCCTTAATTAATAGTGCAGATTCAAAAGTATTCATGTGTTAAAATGTAGAAAAATCTTTTTCCATAAGGGTAACATGAGAACTTTGAAAGCCACTGGGGCAGAGCCCTGATGGAATTTCTTAAAAAACGCTTCTTTTTGCAGACCTAGAGGTTGATTGAAACCTCCATGCAAATTTCCGAGTTCTTATGGCTTGTAGCTTTTGAGTTAAAATGGTCATTGAGTGGTATAAATTGACTTCATGGTTCATGGTTCTCTGCTTCTCTATGGTTCATGTGCCTTCTAAAAACACAAACACATTGTTAAACCATTCCTAGAAAATCTTCAAAGCCGTTTTGTATTGTACAATCACCATAGTAACAGTGTCCACCTGTAGCGTACATCAGAGTTTTAGGGATCACTGAGTGCACCACTGCTGGTACTTGTACCTAGTGGTTTTAAAAAACTTGAAAAAATCGGGAAATAATTTGTCAAAGCGAAATGTATAAACTCAGCTTCCTTAATAATTAGTGACCCCTGCTGTTAATTCAAAGCTGTTCTAACCAGCTTATTTAGGCTATACCTGATAATGTCTAAGGTACCGGCACCTACAAACTGTCCACAGTGAAATTTAAGCCATTCCGATTTTTAAGCCACTAAACGCTTTTTTTGATTCTTATAATTTTTTAGAAATTTATTTTACAAACACCTATGTAAGAGTTGAGGAAAATTCTGTTTGTAATCTAAATGTGTACCATTCTACAAATGACAAATGTGTTTGAGGTTATACAGTAAAGCTGTTGCTA